AAAAAAGGATCGGTGAGGTCACAACGGAACGACAATTCTTTAAGTTTTTGCCGAGCTTTCGACGATTATACCCTCATCATCAGGGCATATTTATTTTAGGAAAATATCGCAGTTAGAACATATTATACCATTTAAAAAAACAATTTTTTTTACTTCAACTCGATGAGTGTTGAAATCTTTTTATAAATGTAGTTTCTTGTTCTCAAGATATATGTCAATTCTCTTCGAGTTAAAGTAAGAAAAATAATCGTTTTTTTAATTTTCTTTTTAATTGATATAATTAAAATAAATAGGCCCTGATGATGACGATATAATCATCGAAATCTCGGCAAAAACGTAAAGAATTGTCGTTCCGTTGTGACCTCACCGAAGATCCTTTTTTCCAAGCTGGTCCGTATATTCTCGCTTTTTTTCATAGCTGAAATGGATAGCCTTTCCTTTTTAAAAAGATAGTTCTTACACACAGTACGTTGTTTTGCAATGATCCGGATTTCGAGCCCTTAGCTCATCATCAGGTTGAAGGAGTCCATCCCTAAGTTTTGGATAGCCCTTTGTTTGTTAACACAGATTTTTTCAGATAAGATTTTTAATTATTTTCATAACATGAAATATATGGTATATTACTTTTTCATATATTACCTTTTTTCAAATAAATTTATTCCTTTTTACCCCTTTAATTGTGTGAGATCTTTTTTTCTAGAAGTAGGAGTATTCACGAGCTTTGGGTTAACCCTGTTAGCTCTGTTTAAACCTATTTTCGGGCCAATTTCAAACCTGAAAACATTATTAAATTTACATTAAAACTTAATTGACTATATAAAAACCTCATGCTTATTCAACTTTTTTTAACCAACTTTTTAACCAACAACTCTATGTTGCTGAACTATTCTTCTTTTGAGCATTTATGACTCACCATCGAACCGGCAGTGCTCAAGGATCGTTGCGTAACGTCCACCTACGTAGACTGGGGCTTCCCCGAACAGAAGAAAGTTGTTACCTATTATCTCCTGACGTTCATTTCTTCAGATTTCAATTATATAAGGTTCACTTTCCATCTAGGAAAAGGGAACAGCCACCAATAAGCGACGAGGCGTTAAGCCCAACCGTTACGCTAAAACCAACGCTGAATATATTACTATCATCGGATCCGATTCAGCAGAATTCGCTATTTGTTTTCACTCTGCCAACACAGCTTGTTAGTAGTGGGTGTCGTTCTTGGGTGGACGCTTTCTTTCTTCAGCCCCCTTCTTTACTTTTACCAAAATCTGTATATCAAAATTAACCGAATATAAACTATTATACAGTACAGTATGGAGGATTAAAAAACTGATTTTACTGCGAAAAGAAAATACAAAATCCAAAAAGAATGTTAATCATGAAATTCTTTAATAAAAACATACATTTAAACAATTAAAGATACAAAACTATGCTTATTCTTCAGGTTAAAAAATAAAATAATAATTACGTTAGGGCGGAAAGGGAGATGTTACCATAGGTTTTTGTTTAATCGACTATGCCGAGGCGTGTTTTGCAAGGAAGCATCCTTAGTCCTATTCTTTTCATTATACACTGCATTCATTCCTCTGTCTTGCCAACCTTTTTGCCAATCCGATTGGCTTTGAAAGAGGCCTTCATAAATCCCCAGGACCATCTCTCCTGTTTGGAAGATTGGTTCAAGAATTAGAGTTGAATTGAAATACTTTTATTTTAAGAAAGAAAACTACAAAGCAGTTACTTTTGGAGGAAAATAATGTATAACGCCATGCCATCTTCTAGAGTTATAACACAATAATTTTAATAATCTAGCTTTAAGGGGAGAAAAATGGTTTTACCCTGGGATTAAATGAAAGAATCGGGTGTGTAATCTACATTAAAAGAGTGAAAATGGTTAAAGAAATCGTAAAACAATTTTATATCCTTGCAAAACTTCGAAAAACAAAAAAAGTTATGTGTAACCTGCGTTAAAAACATTTTTCGAGGGACAAAATAATAATTAAAATACGGCAGAAAGAAAGAAAAATGTATTTTACTTTTGGAATTCTTACAAAATAACATAATGTATGTCAAACGTTTTAAAAGGACAAACTAATGATTAAAATACGACAGAAAGCGGAAAAAAAGTACTTTTCTTTTAGAATTCTTACAAAATAGCATTATGTGTATGTCAAACGTTTTAAAGAGATAAAATAATAATTAAAATACGGCAGAAAGAAAGAAAAAGGTCTTTTACTTTTAGAATTCTTACAAAAATACCATAATATACGAAAAAAGTTTTAAAGGGACAAAATAATAATTAAAATATGACAGAAAGCGGAAAAAAGTACTTTTCTTGAAGAATTCTTTCAAAATAGAATATATGTCAAACGTTTTAAACGGACAAAATAATAATTAAAATACGGCAGAAAGAAAGAAAAAGGTATTTTATTTTCAGAATTCTTACAAAATACCATAATATACGAAAAAAGTTTTAAAGGGACAAATTAATAATTAAAATATGACAGAAAGCGGGAAAAAAGTACTTTTCTTTTAGAATTTTTACAAAATACCATAATATACGAAGAAAGTTTTAAAGGGACAAAATAATAATTAAAATACGGCAGAAAGAAAGAAAAAGGTCTTTTACTTTTAGAATTCTTACAAAAATACCATAATATACGAAAAAAAGTTTTAAAGGGACAAATGAATAATTAAAATATGACAGAAAACGGAAAAAAGTACATTTCTTGAAGAATTCTTTCAAAATAGCATATATGGCAATACATATATGTTAAAAACAGTTTTGAAGTGAGAAAACAAAAATTCATTAAAAACGGAGAAATTGTTTAAAAAAAAAAAAGGTGTTTCACCCTAGGAAAATCCCCCCCCCAAAAAAAAACCCACTTATTCATCAAAATAATTATTATAAGTAAGCCAAAAACAAATATTGGTAGGCTAAATAAGAAATTTGGCTGTAATCTTTACTTAGAGTTAAACTGAGAAATAATTTACCAGTAAGTTGCAAATTCCCTTTGTTTATTTGTATTTATTTAGAAATCATGAGATGCGGTCGACTAACGTTTCGATCTTTACTGAGATCATCTTCAGGGCTCAAAGGGTTTGTCTTCTGTGTGATTGTGCCATTCTTGCGTGAGTGCACTCTCGACACGACACGCAAGAATGGCACAATTACACAGAAGACAAACACTTTGAGCCCTGAAGATGATCTCAATAAAGATCGAACGTTGGCACGATAAAGAAAATGTTTTTCTGAAACCTACATCACACCAGACCGCATCTCACGATTTCTAAATAAATATCGATTAACGGTCACTAATCACCACACATTTATTTATACTGTTGACTTCATTATTTTTATACAAACAGTTAAATCTCTGCTGGATTGTTTGTTATAAAATATATCGTAAAAATTCACGCGTTATTTTTTAAATATTTATGCTAAGAGAATGGTAAACGGGTTAACCAAATGTTTGTTGGTTTCAAATAAAGGAAGAACAAATTGATTTAGGCTTTTATGAAAGTTAAAGTAAAATTAAAAACCTAAACGATTATAAGAATTCACTCTTACTCCTAGATATTTCCGGATTTCACTTCATGACTCACCCCGTTCTCACTGACTTCAAGTCATTGAACCAAAAAAGAAAAAAATGCCTAAATTATTTTCAAAATGAGTTATTAAAATTGTTCGGTAGACTTTTAAGTAATTTGGTGAATTTAAATCCTCATTGTGATGGTATCGAGGGCAGGCAGGCCAAAATGACCAAAAAACTATTTGTTTTTATGCTGAAAAAAATCACAATTTTAATTGAATTGAAAGTTTATTGTTGAATTATAACTTATAAATAATACACATCTGTTGCATTTTCATATAAAAATATCTGAACGCATTATTGTGACGGCGCCGGTGTTTTTGGAAAACAGCCCATTTGTAAGTATGTCGGGTTCGAATGCAGGGCCGCTGGATTCGAACTCGGGACCTTTACCTTACAGCGATGAGCGCCGTGTCAACGCCTAAACCGTTGCGGCCACTGACGCCTCCTTATATCTCTCTTATTATCTATTCCATCATTTGATCCGACTATTATCGTGTTCAGATCGTATCAGCTTCGGGAACACATCAGTGAATCATCACGTCTTCGTTATTAACGATTAAGACGCGTGATTGTTTCTTGCACGCATGTCGTACTTATTTTAAATTACAAGAACCGTTGAGGGCGTGACTTGTACAGCGAATCCCACAAAAACGCAGACACGTTACATGAACCCTCCATGGTCCGTTTGGACTTGCTGGTTCTCTTCTTCAGAATCCTAGTGTTTGTAGATTTTAAAGTCATCTCATTCAGTCGTTTGATTCTATGAGCGTAACGATAATTGCGGACATAACTGTCACCTTCCATTCTGTCCTTCCCTATGACCATCGTGCTTCAGTCTCTGATGATGGAGTCTAGGTATGATCCTACGATTCAAGGGCATGGGATTTTAACAAGGTTTAACACAGCTTGTTTTGCGTGACGGTTAACAGGAGTGCATTAGTTGGGTTAGGTTTAGATTAGGTTAGGTTCGCGTTTAGGGACGGTTTAGGTTACATGATCATTCAAATGTACGAGTCCGAAGCGTTTGTAACTGAATTGAGCAAGTTCGGTGAGGAATGGGACCTCTATGGTCGTTCTTGCCATTGCTGCTCCTTTATCAGCTATATCTGTAAATTCATTGCCAGTTATGACTAGGCACAGAAATTCTAATCAAAGGACTATTCTAGGCCCTAGTTTTGAATCTTAAGATGTAATCGGCGCATTTGAGATCAGTTTGAGAATTGTACTTAAACCTTTTGCCGAGGTACAGTCTGAAGTATGGTTAGCAACAAAAATAGCAAAAATAGGAATGTAGTTGATGAATATTGTTGGGGAAAAATGTATATTTTATATGTACATTAGGTTCGTTAACTTTTATTCACTACTCGTGCTGTTTGGAATATTTTTTGAAATTTATCACATTGTTCACAGATGAAGACGAAGACGAAATGGGAGATTCTTCCCAGGCCTCGCCCAAGAGCAGTTCCAGCCGCAGCGGCGGTGGGTCCCACATCCACCTCTGGCAGTTTCTCAAGGAGCTACTCGGGTCTCCGGCGACTTACGGCAACTGCATCCGGTGGGTCGACAGACAGAATGGCGTCTTCAAAATCGAGGATTCCGTGAGGGTGGCCAGGCTCTGGGGCAAGAGGAAGAACAGGCCGGCCATGAACTACGACAAACTGTCCCGTTCTATACGGCAATACTACAAAAAGGGCATCATGAAGAAGACGGAGCGGTCTCAACGCCTCGTCTACCAGTTCTGCCACCCTTATTCCCTTTAGACTTCTCTACCGATTGTTCATTCAATCGTACGAGAAGTCTTTATGTAAATAATTTCCTCTTTCCCGTCCGGGTCGCTTTCAGTTATAATTTTTTGTATAACCGATGAGCCGATCAACTCGGGAAATCAAGTGTATGCCATTTTCGGCAAGTTTTGTAAATAATTTTTGAATTTTTTTTTAATATTATCTCAAATTTTTGGAAGGTAATTTCCAATATGTTCTTTTTGTGTTTATGTGATCCATAAAAGTGGAGCTCACGATTTATTTTTGTTTGCTGGCGGAGTAAACGGCCTGGGCGTTCTGACGGGGCCGCGTTATGTCTGCGCGTTTCCCCGTCTCGTGGCAAGAGCGTCCGCCTCATAGGTATTGAAACGTCAGTGACTTGGTTCCCATATATCTATGATATATTTATTATTGTAAGTTCTATGAACAAACCCTAACAATGTTGTAAATAAGATTAACAATATTTTTAAAAACATACAAATAATCTACCTAGGAAAAGGAGAAAAGTAGAATAGACTAAACTGAATTTTTTTAAAATATACATTCCAATGTTTTTACTTTTTCTAGAACAAAAATAAAAATTCTAAAGGTGCTGGTTGTCGGGTTATTTTTCAACGGTGAGTTACACCTTCATGATATTAAATATCATTTAATGTTTAATTAGTCATGTAACAGTAGTTGTAATTGATATTCAATGACGGTGTTAATTTAGAAAACAGCCATAAAATATGGCAAAAAAAATTTTAATTGAAACTTATTGTTACCAATTTTCAAATTTATTATTATTATTTGTATATAAATATTTTGTTTAATGATCTTTCAATAAAAGTATATTTTTAAACAAACACCTGAATTAATTTATATCTAGTAACTAGAATAAAGCCATGACTTATTTTTTTGCTCACATATATTTTTCTATATTTTATAAAGGAAAAATACTTTTTTAATGTGATTGTTTTGTTACTCATTTTATTCAAAGTTTATTGTGTATCTTTTATTAAAAAATAAAAATAAAAACGTACATACGAAACAATAACATCTATCTTTATTCACCCAAACTAGGTTGACAACAAAGTTTGTGTTCATAAATAATTATTAAATATTGCATGCATACTTGACAATTTTTTTATATGATTGTGTATAATGAATAAACTTTTATAAAGAAAAATCGTTCTTTTGGGACATTTTTGGAAAGAAGGAATAACCTCAGATGCGAAATAGTAAAAATTGCGTTATGCATAATGTGTGGTGTTATATTTATAAATCCCAGGCCCTGAAGATGATCTCAATAAAGATCGAAACGTTGGCACGATAAATAAAATGTTTCTCTAAAACCTACGTCACACCAGACCGCATCTCACGATCTCCAATAATCATTATGCATAATGCATTTTTTTGTTCTTTCGTTGCTGATAGCTCACGGCACAGCTGGATAAAGGGATAGTTCCAAAAATTGTATAGGGATTTGAGCAGCCACCCCATGAAAAAAATTTATTATGGAATGACACTGAAAATGTTTGACCAATTTTTGGCCTACTGTATATCAGAATACGAGCTGGAAAATTTCCACAAGCCAGAAAGAACGAATTCTTATTCTAAACAATTCCGTTGCAAGGTGTGCCCTCACAGGGGGTTAATTTTTCAACCAGTTCCAAAATGGACTTCGTGTTATCTGCGTTTTATGCTCTAGCGTTCAAGAAGAAATAATTGAAGAAAAAAGCTTTTAACTAAATAGGAAGGATTGAATAGGAAAGATGAAAAATCAACCATCCAATGATGAATTTTTAAATTTAATAATTTAGTGAGATATCAATTAATTTTAATTAGTTACAACATTATCATGTCAAACTAGCCCTGGATCACTGGGTCCGTCTATACACGCGAAGAATAAAAAAATTCTCCAGGGTAATCCATCCCAACAATGTATATTTTCAGTGCTATAAAAATCCTTACTTAAGGGCTTTAAAGGGTCCTTAAAATTGATCGGGTTAGATTTATCAACTAAATTTTTTTTTGCCTCCCTTATAGGAAGCGTCTATTAAGTAGCAAAAAGAAAAAGAAGAACAAAAGTTGACCCGATTGAAAAAAAAAGAACAACGAACAAAATCTGAAAAGCAGTTACTGAAGAAAAAGCCAAAGAAACTAAAAAGTTGGGCAAATAAGAAAAAGTCGACCAAGAAGGCAACATATGTCCAAGTTGTAAATAAGATTCCCGGATAAAATTAGATGGCAATCTTGATGACTGCAGCCTTGGTCTCAATACATAGCAGTGATGATGTCGAGCCTATGGATGCACAAGTGATTGTGAAAACAGAGCGAAAAGGAAGAATAGGACCAAAATAGAAATGAAACTAGTGACATAAGAAAGGTAGCAATTAACTAATCAACACAAAATGTGAAACACAAATTCGTGAGGTTTTTCAAGATCATTCAAATTTGGACGTGATGGGGAATCAAACATAGGTGAACAGAAATAATTTATGATGAATCTGTGATGGACGAGGGAAAAAAGATAGACAAGAAGCAGAGATAGATGGAGTATGAAAAGAAAGGAGCATGAATGATGAAGGGAGTTCGTAAGTGGAGGACAATTCCCTAAGCATCAAAAACAAAAAAGAGAAAACTATGTTTATGAACTTGATGATTATATAGCTACTGTTTTCCTCTCAAGGCCAAGCAATCGCATGAGAGATGTTTTTGTGATCATTACAAAAACAGAAGAAGATTGCCACTTTGTAACATTTTGAAGAAATCCATGGCTAATGGATTTAATAAGTTAAATGAAATATATCTTCACTAAAGCTCTCTGTGGCCATTTCATTTGTGGCCGAGAATCAAATGATTACACGACATTTGAAAAATGGCAAAAAGGAGGGAAAATTCGAAAGGTGAGGCTGAGATGGGAAGTGTCCGAATGGATCGAAGTCACGATAACTCAAGTGTTAGCGGCGTATCAAGCCGAAGGTCGTGGGTTCGAATCCCGCTCGTAACACTGGCTTTTTTATCTCGACCAATACCTTACAAAAAGATTAATTAATAAAATTCTTTATATAATTCAAAATAACAGTGACTGGATATTTACTAGAGATGTTCTAAAAATACTGAGATAAAGATTGTGAAAAAGTAATCAAACTTTTTATATCTTCACAAAAACAATGAAAAATAAATAAACTCCAGATTTACTTTAACACTTAATCCTGTTCTTTATTCGATTGTTTAAATATTTCTTACTGCGATTTTCACACTTCTGTGTAGGTTGAAAAAAAAACGGTGATTGTTCACCTTTTAAATTTTATTTCATACCTTTAGACATTTAGGAGCAATAAAGTTTTCAAGTTTTATGTTCCAAGCTTGAGAACGGTTGTTTACGAGCATCGGTCGAATCAAGTCTAAGCACCGGCACAGCTGGAACGCGCTGAAAAACTCGGCTAATCTGCAAATGCAGTCGAAACAGTAAAAACGATCGCTTTTATAAAAGCTTCAAGGTCTGTAAAAATTATTCAAGTATTTCAGTTGTAAAAAATTAAATATTCATGAAAGTTTTACAATTAGAAAAGAAACATAACTTACGATTTAACGTTTAAAGTACATTCAATCTACATACGTTGTAAAAATCACAGCAAGCTTTGTGGGTTCATTTTTCCCTTTTATGTTCCTCTTTTTCTTCAGAAGACAACGGAAGCCTGGTAGGTGTTTGATTGATGAACTTAATCCCAGGATCTTTTCTCCCATTTTTTGAATCAACAGGACCCACCCTTCACAAAGATGTCCGTGTATAACGTTCGTAACGTTAAATTTTAAATTAATTTTTGATTTGATGGAAAAGGAAAAACGTCCTAAGCCGAATTTCGATACTGGACGTTGTGAAATGATCCCCGCTGGCTGTAAAGCCAGGGTAACAACCAGTTCTAACGATTAAGTGATTAGACTTAAGCAATTTTATGCAGATTTAAACTATCCAGGTCAATATGAGTTATTCTCTAGTCCCCTTGTCCAATTTTTATTACAATTTTGATTAATTATCACATATATAAAGCCCAGGAATTTTATAAACGATACTTTCCTGGGCCAACGATGTACATTCCGACTTAGACTATTTCAAAGTGTTTCGAAAAAAGATTCCCCACGATCCATATATAAGATACTGAAAAATAGGGGCTATTAAGTTTAATGTAAATATACATTTAATGAAGCAATATCTATGTGTTTAGAAAAGTTAGTTATGTTTAGCGAGTCCCCGTCCATAATTGAGTTTTTATCGCCAAAGTTGTTGGAAATCGCTTGAAGAAATTGAATTTTATCCTATTTTGATGGCTATGGACGCCGGATAACAGAGTACTAATAGCTCCCCATGGCCACTTCATAAGTAGCTGAGAATCCAATACTGATTTCACGACATTTGAAAAATGGCAAAAAGGAGGGAAAATCGAACGGTTGTAGGTTGAGATAGACTTCAAAATCCAACGTATATAAATAAACATAAAACAGCAAAATCTCACTGGCACTCTCGACACGACACGCAAGAATGGCACAATTACACAGAAGACAAATATTTTGTGTGAGTAGAAATACTTCGATTGAATAAAAAAATATATTTTGCATTGCATAAATTCACTTTTCCACATCCTAAATGTATTTGTTAAATGTAAACAATGTTTGTAAATCACAGGCCCTGAAGATGATCTCAATAAAGATCGAAACGTTGGCACGATAAAGAAAATGTTTTTCTAAAACCTACATCACACCAGACCGCATCTCACGATTTCTGAATAATTATCGATTAACGGTCACTAATCACCACACGTTTCTCAAGTTATTTTTTTTTTTTTTGTCTCGGGGTTTTACTATAACATCTAACTGTTAAGCGGTTAATATTTATATTCTGTTACAAAAATTCTTTTTATTAAAATAAATTGTATATAAAAGTATTAGTTTGAATAATCTATAATGAAAAAAGGATTTATTATTAAAATTCCGGTTTCAGCTTTGTCATACCCATTGTCGTAAATTTATTTATTAGAGTTACTTAATTCCGAACTTCTCACTGAGCATATTGTTGAAATGTTTAGAATTCTGAAAGTTCTTTTCCTGAAGCATACAATCAAAATAAGAATCTCTCAGTATATTTTATACTAACATGAACAAAAGAAGTCACAGACATATTTACAAAAAAATACAAAATTTGAGCTGTAAATAAAGCATTCATTGACTTTACTAGGCAATAGACCTTGAACACTTTTTTACGATGTTTCACATTTTTTTATACCCTGTCATAATTTTTACAACAGTTATTCATTAATACATTTATTTTGTAAATTTACACTTGTGAGCTTTTTCTGATCAGTAATTTTTTGAGGTAAGGTTGACATAAGATTTCTCAAGATTTTTTTTGTCTAGGGTTTTACTATAAAATCTAACTGTTAAGCGCTTAATATTTATATTTTGTTACAAAAATCCTTTTTTTTTTTTTAAATAAGTTGTATATAAAAGTATTAGTTTGAATAATCTATAACCAAAGATAGAGGATTTATTATTAAAATTCGGAAAAAAAGCATTGTAAATTTATTTATTAGACTTACTTAATTCCGAGGTATAAACTTCTCACTCTGCATACAGTTGAAATGTTTAGAAATCTTAAGTTCCTTTCTTGAAGCATACAACCAAAATAAAAAGAGGTTGTGAGAAGTTTATTTTATCTCAATTCGTTCCCTCTGTACATTTTATATCAACATAATCTTGCCCACATATAGAACACTAATTTTTATTAAGCTTTATTAGCACAACATATAATAACTATTATGTCATTTGGCATTTTGTAATTATATATAGAATTGTTATATTATTTTAAAAACTTGTCAATATGTAAACCTAATGTTTTACGAAGGCGTAAATCTCGGTTTTCCATTATTACAAAGGTCTGGAATAAAGACAATCGGAATGTTTAGAAAGCTGAAAGTTCTCTTGAAACATACCCAATTCAAATCAGGGCTGGGCATATTGTGCGAGTGCCAAGTCGTGCTTTCTATGTAAAAAGACCTCTTGCCTGGGGAGTTAAAGTCCCAAAAGTGCGACTCTTTGACCTACTGATCAATATTTCAGGAAACCAACTGGAAATTTTTAAATTTAAACAAAATGCTTTTTTTAGTGTTTTTTTCCCCCTTGGCCTATGATGTATTTTTCTCGGTTAATACACGTGACCCATATTTTGTCAATGTGAGAACGGAATCTTCTATCACTCTTCTCACCACGTGAAGCAAGAAAAAACCTCAGTCAACACTTCCTTCCTCGTTTCTTTTTTATTAATTGAACAATATAAAATCCTTTATGGCCGTATTTCTATTTCACCGTATTTCACGACTGGCAGAAAAGATTGTAAATCAAAAAGAAACATGTCTCAAGACGTTTCTTTGCCCTTTGCGTCCTTCGACGGTAGCCTGGATCCTAGTACATATTTTGTTCTTCGAAGGCCTCCCACGTTTTACTTTCACTTCCTAGGCGTTTGTAAACAATTCTCGATTCAAGGAGAGACAATTTGTTATGCTTGAACATAAGAACATTATATATAACTACTTTAGAAAATTAAAATCACAATTAGAGTGACACATTTCACTACAATCGACAATGAAATCATTATTTAAAAATGAACTACTGTCAACAATTTCTGTAGCCGGGAAAAACCCGAAAATGATAGTTAAAAAGTGCAATGTTTGTTCTAAAACGGTTTCTTCCAGCCATTTTTAATATGGAAAAAGATAATTAGAAAAAGATCACCAGAATTTAATTATGATTTTTCATTACCGAAATTGTTGTAGTATCAGAAGGTTTAAAAAGTTTAAAATTTAATTTATTCTACAATAAAAAAATAATTTCTCAACATAGCTTAGAAGTACTCTAACCCACTAGCGATTCAGGCTGTGAATTGGTACCACAAATCTACCACCAAGATCCTATTTATAATTAATTCCACTATATTTAGTGGTCTATTGACCAAATTACTTCTTTCAATTACTTAATCTTTTTATGTAAGGTTTTGGTTGAAATGAAAAAGCTAGTGTCTCGAGCGGGATTCGAACCCACGACCTTCGGCTAAATACGCCGCTGCTCTTGAGCTATCGTGACTTCGATCCACTTGGACTCCAACTCCCCATCTCAACCTACTTTACTACTACTTTTTATAATTAATTCTAATTATTTCCATAGTTACTGCTGACAAGATCAACACTATTCATTTTCATTAGAGTTCGTAGTCCGATTGGCCGAATAACGTTTTTCAATTAATTAATCTTTATATAAGGTATTGTATTATCCATATCAAATTGATTTAATAAGCAAAATCGAGGATATCTTCAGTAAAGCTCTCCGTGGTCATTTCTTTTGTCCCCGAGAATCGAATAGATTGGTTGAGATAAAAAAGTCAGTGTCACGTGCGGGATTCGAACCCACGATCTTCAGCTAAATACACCGCTGCTCTACCACTTGAGCTATCGCGACTTCCATCCACTTTTTACCTCAACCAATACCTTATATAAAAGATTAATTAATTGAAAAAGGTTATTTGGTCAATTGGACACGAAATCAAATGGATTTAATAAGCAAAATGGAGTATATCTTCAGTAAAGCTCTCCGTGGTCATTTCTTTTGTCCCCGAGAATCGAATAGATTACACGACTTTTGAAAAATGGCAAAAAGGAGAGAAAAATCGAAAGGTTGGGATGAGATGGAAAGTTAATGTCCTAGTGGAGCGAATTCAGGATAGCTCAAGTGGTAGAGCAGGGGCGTATTTAGCCGAGCGTCGTGGGTTCGAATCCCGCTCGTGACGCTGACTTTTTTGTCTCAACATATACCTTATATAAAGATTATTTGAAAATATTATTCGTTTTGTTTTAAGGATGATTGATGGGTGGAAATATTAAGTTAATAATTTTATTATCTACTAATAGCATACCCTACACTAGCATCATCTGGGGTCTGTTAACCAGGGTGCGATTATACCATTTCATAATAAAAAAGCACCTAACAAGGAGATGTACCATCGTAATTTCTACGGTTTCTAGTAGTTGATGATCTATCACAGAGCTTAACAAATAAGAAAAACGTAGTTTATTTAGATGACGTGGTCCACAAAGAGAAAATTTTATGACGCCCTGACGATTCAGAGTCTATCCTAAAACTATCCTAAATATTGTAGTAAGGTGGTATAAGAAAATGGGTTTAAATATAATCTCTAGGAAAACATCTCACTTACTTTTTATGAGAAGAAGAAAGCTAAACTTAAAATCATCCTCTCTACAAGATAAAGCCATAACCTTCTCTAAAGAAACTAACCCTTGACCAAAAAGTGGAGAAGTTATATAAAAAGTAATGTAATTCTTGTCATAAAGAGAACAGGGGTCATACTCATTGCAATACTTCTTTTATACTCAATTAGAAAACCATGGGTTGTGCCGGGATTCAAACCCAGATACGAGTCGGACGCCCAATTGGCTACCCCTGTCCCCGTGTATATAGGTAATATGCTAAATAAGGCGAGGCGCTACTAATCATTGGCCAGAGATTATGCAGCAAAAAGGTGTGGAGCTCTCGTAGGGTGACCAGAAACGCTGAAAAACGAGACACAAAACAAACTGCAAGGTCTTAAAAGTCTAGTGTGTCTTATAGGTTATAGCACACTGGACTTAGCATCATCTTATTGCGTCTTTTTATTGAGTCGTTCTAGATTCAAGATCGCGATGATTAAGATTAAAAAACTAAATACGCAATGACATCCTTTATTACATAGTGTTTACAAAATGTTATACAAAAATGATCATGAGCGCAATTAACATTAATTTTGGAATGGATGTTGCAACATCGGTACCTTGGGGTGTAGACGAGCTTCTTAATACTCAACCAAACAGGACAAAAGACTGTGCTACCCTGAATGACTGAAGTGACTACCCTTTCTTAAGGATGGTCTTTTTTTTCCTTTTACACACTTCCTATGAGGAGCGCTTAACGTCGGTGTTTCCACCAGACCGCTATAATCTTAAACCCACGGTCCAAACTCCCGAGCCCAACCCCGCGACCATGTCCCATACCACTAACACCACTCCGACCCCGACTACCAACCCTCACTATCCCTTTATTAATCTTTACCTAGTAATTATGGAAAATAAATACAAGTATACGGTTTTTTGTCTTTGAGTGTATATTTTCACCATCTCTCTTTCACAACGTCTCATTTATTTTTGTCAACAACAAAATTACATAATATTGGATTGTGTCTTGAGTGAATTCCATCGTTTCTTCACTTTCACCGTGTTTTCTTTCCTAAGATGCCCATCGATTGTGTGGATCTCTAAAAAGGTCCTGGATCCAGGATGTCCTGGGACCCAGTAAAATGTAACCTTGTTTTGCACAACTACCTAATCTGTTTAGTTTGTAATCAGCCAACCATCCTTATATATATATATTATGCAGGATGGGCGACCAAGACCCGAGGGGTTAAATGCCTGGGTAGACTCGTACCCCATCCCTAAAAGGTCCGGGACTTGGTCGGCTCACGTGTCCTGCATAACCTCTTGGACCTGTTCACAAACCCCAAAATTTTGGACCATTTTATCTTGGGGAGTGATTTGGTAATGTCATCTCCTTCAAAAGTTTCAAATCTATGCCAACCATCCTTAAGTTAATAATGTTTGTAATGGTCTGATCTCTGGTAATGGTTATCCGACATTATAAGTATGTCCTTGGTTTTGTACCCTCTACTCAAATTGAATTGAGTAAATCTCTCACCTGTGTGGATTTCGGTTTGGAAAATACTGGTGTACTTTCCCATGGATTCTGAGTATTTCGTTTTGAGGCCAAACACTCCAGCCCCTGCACCTTCTTGCCTCGTAGATTTATCAGACCTAGATTAAGAAACTAATCTCTTTTAAATTATCCTAAGTAATTTATATGTTTATTAAGTTAATATAATATTAATTAAACTCATTTGTAAAATTGTTTAGTGAATAAATAGTATATGCTGACTTCATCTATTTCTACACTATGCCATTAGGCAGTTTTTCATTAACATCCAAAAAATAAAATATCGTTTAAAAACGTCATGACAAGAACACTTTTTTGCCGATTCCAATTGTTCAATTAACACCCGACAATAATGATGTGCAGAGTGGGTCTGCAGAATATTTTGAAATTTCATAGAAATGGTCTCTATCTGTTGTCTGGTATTTCTTCAGAGACATCAAATGGAGGAGGAACAAGTCATCAGTCATCGTTGAAACTAGGCCCATGTAAGCTAGGAGGAGTATCGCATCCTTGGTCACTGACATTGAATTGAATACGTCCACACTCTCTAAGAGTTCCTAGAATATTACAGTTTATTTAGGGTTTTTTTCTGTATCTTGATGTTATGCTAATGACGTACTTTATCAGTTTCAACTTCCATCCTGCTGATGGATTTGCTTATGTCATTGTCATATTTGAATGAAATATGATTGCATACGGACTCCAAAGAGAGAAGAATTAGAAAAGACATTACATAAATGCACGTCAAATATGTCAATTTTCTAAAACGAAAGCTGTCAGTGAGATGCCTGCTGTCACAATGGCCTAAATCCAGCCTGCAAATTACAAAAAATAATTTATTTACAATATGCTTGTTTATGATTTAACGTTATATAATAATAATAATAGATCTTACCAGTCAAACAAAGAGATTAGTGTTATTGTCATTAAAACATACAACAAGTCATGTATTTGATTTGACATTGTACTGTAAATGACATAGTATTCATAAAACTTTTCATATTCACTTTTTGTCATGTATGACATAACCTGAAGTACAATAAAAATTTAAAAAAGAAGACATAAAATGAAAAATTATCGAATACGAACAAGCAATAATTCAACAAGGCACACTCCTCCAAGAAATCCAATCATCACTCTGCCGATGTACGTACAAATTTTCTGAAGCATTATCGACAGATCAAGAAGTGAGTTGACATTAATTCTAAATGTATAAAAGCAAAATGTTTATTTTTGAACAATTAATGTTTACATTTATTTGATACTTACGACCAAGGGTCTTCCAAATAGCAAGTTCTCGTTTTGTATTCGGAATTCATCAGTAGTTCTTTCGGTGCCTTCATGAACCTCCCGTGATGCTCGATGAAAACGTTGTCGTTCACACAGTAAGGAAAGCTGTTCTTGTTAAGCCGTTTTCTCTTCTTTCTGTGGCAACATGCATTTGTATCGCCTCCGCCACAAGTATAACCGCCAGTGTCTTTTCCACCACTTGTACCATGTGCGGAAGATGGACTGCATGTCTCTCCACGAAAGCAAATCCCACATTGACCACAGGTATTGGGCAGTTCTCTTAGATTGCCAGAGAAAACCGCATTCGGATAAGGGGGCATCAAATTATCTGTAAATGGACGTTTGTAAATTCATATCAGAAAATTAAAGATCCATCAATGCCAGATAGACTAATGAAAAAGAACTTGAAAGGAAACCACAAAAATCAAAACAAATAGTTCACCATTAATGATTAAATAATGACCTCATTTATCCACAATTTACTATAATTTGGTCATATGCCAATAATTTTCATATGCCTATCCTCTGTGTTTTGGTCTGTCTTCTTCAGGGCTGAGTCTCCATGTTCAAAATGTTTTTGACAGACAAAACCAGCGACACTAGACAAGATGATCGGTAATGACCAGATTACAGTTTCATCACCCCCAAAGACCAATGGACGAATCTCACAAATTTTTGTAATTTGATCATTACCAATGATTTTGATATGCCTATCCTCTCTGGTTTGGTCTGTCATCTTCAGTGCTAGGTCCCCATGATAAAAATGTGTCTGACAGACAAAACCAGCAACAATAGGCGGATGATCGGTAACAACCAGATTACATTTTCATCACCCCAAAGACCAATGGAGTAACCCCACAATTTATTGGGTATATTTATGAATCTGAGATCATCAATTATTTTGAACATTTTAATTTTGAATAAATAAAAACAATAAAGTTACTCCAGTCTTTTTGTACCTGTGCCACGATCAACGTATTGAACGTATTTTAACGGTCTTTCAAGACTCTTGGGAGCGATGACGCAGATTTCCTCTTGTGTGTTCTTGTAGAACGTTTTCGTCTGCAATGTCATACATTTGCTCCCAGGGAGATAATAAATATTTCGCATCATGATTGGAAATGGTGTTTTCTAAAACTTTTCTATTTCTAAAATTCAACAAAAAAACTAACAATTACAGTATCTAAGTTAGCTTTTGTAAATAAATAATAAAAAAACATATGCTTCATATATTCTATGACAATACCACATCAGGAACAGCTGAGTAAGAAAGAATGGGTGGACAAAGAAATAATGCAATAAAGTAAATGAAAAAAACTTCAGTTTTTCATTATTTTATTGCTTAATAACCATAAATATGCAACATCATTTTCTCATGTTTGTTGAACAATGATGAAAAACCAAATCTTTTAAAACATTTTCCAGCAACATTTGCCCACAAGTTACTTAGTGAATGTAAAAATACAGTTAAAATAATAAAAACGTCAATGGGAAGGTATTAAATCATCAGTAAAGAATTGCAACTTTTACCAGATACTATATATAATTATTATCCATGAAATCATGAACTTCCTCAATGTACACCAAAAATCAAATTCAACTGGAGGCGTTCGTCCAGCAGAATGTTCAGCCAAAAGCCCAAAACAACCAAGGCCAAATTAAATTGTAAGAAGAAAAAAAAGTAGAAAGGAAAAATAAATTAATATGGATCTTTCCAAATAATAAACTAATTTAGTTGGGAAAAAAAATTCCAAATATAAAACAATGCCACTTACAAATCAAAGCAAAGAATCCGTTTGTATTTGAGTTTTGATTAATAAAAAAAAATCTTCAAAAGTTGATCGAGGTCCAAAATGTTTATTCTGAGATTGTGAGATGCAGTTTGGTGTGATGTAGGTTTTAGAAAAACATTTTCTTTATCGCGCCAATGTTTCAATCTTTGTTGAGACCATCTTCAGGGGTCAAAGTGTTTGTTTTCCGTGTCCAAGTGTCATTTTTGTCTGTTGTGTTGAGAGTGCCCACGCGTTCCAAAATGTCCTTTTCCATGCTTGGTCATGATTAGAAGTGAGTCTTCCAACTGATTATCCCAAGTGCTAATGGGTACAAGCATGAATGGAATAGTAAAAAATTCCAAGCGAACAAAGAAGTGGCATTGTTTATTTTCACAGAATCAGGATGGATATGACTATCTACCATTCACATCCATCGTCTCTTCATTAGGTAAAGACTGATCCCTCAATTATTCGTGTTAACAATTCTGCACCATCAGGGCAAAACTGGTTACTGATTTAATAAGCTCAACCAAGCACATGCATGCACACACAAGCACATACATGTGCAGAGCTGAATCTATCTCTCACAGCCCGTTGGCAATTCAAACTTTTGTGTAGTTAACAATAGATTACCAACAGGCCTCGAGAAGCACCCAGCCCAGGGTGTTGTCAGACCTCTGTCTTATCCATCCGGCCAACAAGGTTGGGCTTTAGTGCTATCAACACCTAGGTCAATGCAGCCCCCATTTTATAGTTCAGACCTTTGATTCAATTTCAAATATAGTTTTCCTAAAAACTTAGTGGAAAATGTACTTATCTCATATCATCCAAATTTGACTTATCCAGCTTTGCTATTCTAAAAATACATTAGGTTAGGATTATAAATATCGCTGGTGTTTGCAAATTTGAAACATTAACAGTAACAACTGCAATTTCATTAAATGTGCTGCAGTTTAATTATCATTAGCTTAGTCTATTGGTGGTTTTGCTCGTAAGATGACCCAATTAATTTTATATCTAAAATCAGTTATAGATATCTTAACCTATCTGTCATTATGTATCTTTTTGTTCATGAAGGACACTATGGCAGACTCTCTATTACTAGTTATTACTCTATGTGCATATTTCATTCAGGAAATATAAAAAGTAGTCATTTGCAATATCTGGCTTTGTCACTATGCCAAGAGAGGAAACAACATCTGAAAATTGTGCGTTATGTAACCAGGTGCTGGAAAGTCACAGGCCAGGTACATAAAAGGGCTGAAAACGCTGCCCTGGTGGACACTGATGATATCAACCTGGATGTTTTTTTATTGCATAAGAACATCTCAATATAAACCTTTTATTTAAAAAAATATATATATGTATATATTGTAACAGTTTTATATATGGTGTTCAGCTTGAGTCAATATTTATTTGATCATATGGATAATCATACTTCTTTAATTCCATCAGATGGATTAAAAACAGATCGTCACTTTTAATACACACTACACAAATCCAGCTGATAATGTTTAAAATATTTTCACTAAGCTCCCAGCATGCCAAACGTTATGTAATCAGGTGCTGCAAAATCACAGGCCAGGTACATAAAAGGGCTGAAAACGTTGCTCTGGTGGATACTGATGATATCAACCTGGATTTTTTTTGCATAAGAACATCTCAATATAATCCTTTTATTAAAAAAATATATATATATTGTAACAGTTTTATATATGGTTTTCAGCTTGAGTAATATTTGATCATATGGATAATCATATTTCTTCATTTCCGTCAAATGGATTAAAAACAGATTGTCACTTTTAATGCACACTACACAAATCCAAAAACTAAGATCCCATGCTTGCCAAACGTTATGTAATCAGGTGCTGGAAAGTCACAGGCCAGATACATAAAAGGGCTGAAAACGCTGCCCTGGTGGACGCTGATGATATCAACCTGGATGTTTTTTTTTCTTTTTTCCATAAGAACATCTCAATATAAATTGTTTGTTAAAAAATAAAAATTCCAAACATTTTCTTTGTTTTTTATTGTAACATTTATATATGGTTTTCAGCCTGAGTCAATATTTGATCATATGGATAATCATACTTCTTTAATTCCATCAGATGGATTAAAAACAGATCGTCACTTTTAATACACACTACACAAATCCAGCTGATAATGATTAAAATATCTTTCACTAAGCTCCCAGCATTCCAAACGTTCACAGCAGATAGTAATTCCTAAAAGACAGTGTGTTTTCAACCAGGCAGAATAACTACTAAAAACAATTTTAAAATACTACCATGTCATTTTCTAAAACATCCCTCGATACTTTTTCTACAGAGTAGTTGTAACATCGAAGATAGATAAAATCCGACCAACTGGACAGCGCAAACATTACCCCCGCTGCAACAATGTACATGAAGGCCACTATCCAAATTTTTCTGTACTGCAGTGTATCAAACAGATCTCTTAAATTAATATGGGCAATGTCTAGCCTAAAATAAAACTTGATTATTATAAAAAATAAGATTCAATTTCTTAACTTACCAATCTAATAAGCATGAAACACCAATAACCATCAGAACATAATAAACGCTTTCTAATTTATTTGTAAAAATGCTATAAATAGAATAAAAATCAAAAAAATTATCTCCCTGGTAGGTACTGTAATAGAGTAAAATCTATAAAAAAAAAAAGAAAATATTAGCAATAATTTAAATCACAAAAAACATTCATAAAAATTAATACCAATATTGTTTCGGTCAATGCCAACCCTGCTGAAAAACCCAACAAGATTTTGCCCAACAAAGTCCACATATTTTGAACAGTAATGACGATGTCGAGTGGTGTGGTCATGTCAAATGACCAAGGCTCATCTTGATTGTCACTGTTCTTGAAATTGTTTTCCGATATGATTTCTTTAGGAGCTTTGATAAATTTGCCATGGCTTTCAATATAGATTTCATCTTTGCCGTAGACTGGAATCATCTCATTTTCTGCATCTAAAATGCATACTTGCAATTTTCCCTCAGTCTTTTTCCTTCCTGTTTCTAATATTTACCTCCGCAGCCTCCTTTTAGCTTTAGAGGTGCATCTAATACGATATCATCTTTGAGCTCTTTCAAAACGCCGGTCAGCTTAGAATGCGGAATTTTATGTGATGATCTTCGTACAGCTAACGTAAAAACATATTTATATTCAATTAAAACATGGTGGAATTAAGTTTTGACAGCTTACATGATCTACGAGAAGAAGTTGCTTCGTTGCTTAAGTGTATCACATTTGGAGATTTTCTTTTTGGAGAATCACGATTGCTATGCATTGGTGAATCCGTCGAAGACATTTTTTTTACTATCTTTTTCAGACGTTGCCTTTCCTCTTTTATTGGGCTGAGCCTAACAAATCGTAAATAATAATAAATTAAACAAATCCTAAAAACAAAAAATGCTATATTAAATTACTGAGTGATCAGTATGATCAGTATGGGGTAATGTTTTTAACAACGTAGTGTGGCTTGTTTGTAAACAGTGAATCACCTTGGCAACATAAGATAGTGCAAACATGGCATGGGGTTCCATGGGGTGTAAAGTACTTACACCAACTTTATACATCTTACATTATTCAGTTAAAAATTATAATATATTATTTAATAATTTATTTTTGTATGCTTCATATTAAATGAAAGTCAAAAAATTTAAAAACCAGCTTCATAATTTAAAATGCACCTTGTTCTGACACATTTTATAAATCATGTATTATTTTGTAGTTGTTTATCTGTACTGGTAAAGACTTTTTCACTTTGAATATTTATACAATGTTTTTGATCAGGAATAATTTTTGATCGAAAACGTAACTGATCGAGTCCATTTGAAATCTTCCAAATCAAAGATACATCAACCTTCTTAACATGATAAGTGATAAGTTCTGCACAATGGGGATTTTTAGAAGTTGTATAAATTTTATATATATGTTTTGTGAGGGTTTGCAACAGCAGAGTTCATATAAACCCTCAGGGTGCCGGTGATTTTGAAAAAAAGCCCTTTTGTAAGTATGTTGGGTTTAAATGCAGGGCTGCTGGATTCGAACCATGGACCTTTAGCTTACAGTGATGAGCGCCGTGTCAACGCATAAACCGTTGCGGCCACCGATGCCCCGAAAATATTTGTATTCCACGCCTTTCAATCAAGTCGGGCTAATAGTTCAACAAGTTGACTGCTCCCGAGGAAAAACATTACTTTTTTCTGTGATGGGCACTTTTTTTTTACTAATTGGTTTCCATTTGCCTGATATGAATGTATTATGAAGTTTCCTTTGTTTAAATGCATTTTTCAATTTAGAAAAACTAGTGCCCTAGCAAATTCGGTGGAAGTATCAGAATTGAGACCCCTCACAACACAATAAATGCTAAATACCCACTTGTACTATTCTAGTTTTCACTTTTACAACTTATATTAATGATTTATTATATCATACTCTAAAATAAATCAATTATATTAAATGTGCCCAACAGGTCAAAATGGAAAAAAAAGACAAAATAAAATTTTTAAAATCATAAATATGTTATGGTACAATATGTATCGGATCAAAATGTAAATGTACGGTCATATTTTCTTTTTCCAAATGTTTCCATTTTTAATGTAAAAAAAGTTTCCCAGAATATGTATGTAAATTTTTCACAAAGCCTTCTTAATACGTTTCTCTGCTTATGCGTATATGCTAACATTTAACTTAAAAACATGTATTTTAAAAAAAACCTTATAATTAAGTTCACTAGTTTCGTAGTCTGCTTGACCAATTAATATATTTCAATTAATTAAGGTTTTTAGTTGAGATAAAAAAGTCAGTGTCACGAGCGGGATTCGAACCCACGACCTTCGACTAAATACGCTGCTGCTCTACCACTTGAGCTATCACGTCTTCGATCCTCTCGGACACCAACTCCCCATCTCAACCAATAACCTTTCGAATTTTCCCTATTTTTTGCCATTTTTCAAATGTCGTGTAATCTATTCGATTCTCGGCGACAAATGAAATGGCCACGGAGAGCTTTAGTGAAGGTATACTTCTTTTACTTATTAAATATTAATCCATTTACGTTTTAGTGGTCAATTGACCAAGTTACTTCTTTCAATTAATTATTCTTTCTATGTAAAATCTTGGTTCAGTTAAAAAAGTCAGTGTCATGAGCAGGATTCGAACCCACGATCTTCAGCTAGATATGCCACTGCTCTACCACTTGAGCTATCTCAACTAAAAACCTTAGTTAAAATTAATTGACTTATAATTATAGTTATTATTATTATTTAAAGTTGTTATTTTTATAAATCCATTATAAAAATAACAAAAATCAAAAAATGTTTTCTAGAACACGTATGTAAAATATTTTACAAAGCCAAATTTCACACTAAAATCTAAAATGTTTGCATATTTGTAGTTTTGTTTCTGTATCCTAACATTTTCTGAATTTACAACATAATAAATAGCAAAAGTTATATAAATATTTAAAAAAATAATATTGAACTATATGAACCATTTTTTTAAATAATTGCTGAGAGCATAAAATGGTGTTTGATCTCGACAGATGGCTGGATATCTTAAGGCGAATAACTGCCCTTATAAATGTACTTTGCTATCTGCCGAATAGGCTACGATAGTAGCATCAGGTAGCACCTCTCCACCGCATAATCAGCAGAACCAGTCAATGTGTTAAGTATTGAAGCAGGACCTCTTAAACATCAGTGTATGTTTCTGGACATCAAGTTTTTGCAAAAAAATCATATCCAATAAGTTGCACCCACTAAGAGAATCAAAGATAATATTATATCTGCTGATGGTCCTCTACCTCATCGAAGAAAACTATTCGCTATGAGAATTTCCTTAGCTTTACAATCTTACATTAGTGTCATAAAAATGCAGGAATCTTAATGTGAGGAAACTTAAATATCTGAATGTCACAACAAAGTAGCAAGGTCTAAATAAATTGGAATCCTGGCTTAAGCGTTTTACGCTGAAAACATACCTTACACAGTTATTAAAGGATATTCTCAGATGGTGAAGGGATACGAATCAAGAAAAAAAATTAAAGGTGTCCATAAGTAAAAAAAATATAATAAACATTATTACTGCAGGGGCAGATCAGCCGACCGATAAGACAATAGGTGAAACAAAAAGGAAGTACAAGAAGAAGAGATATTGTTGATACACATAAAAAATTAAAGGGGGCCTAAGATGAATCCCTGTGGGACTCCAGAAATAAGGCCATGACAGTTCTTTTGGAGTTAAAATTAATAACTTGTGACTAGCCAGATATGAAATAAAAAGTTTACAAGTGGTATGTTAGACTGCATGGAATGAAATGAGCATAACCTGAGATGGTGTTTCACAAATAACTTTCATGTTTAGTTGCACAACGGATTTTTTTGCTCAGTAGAAACCGACCATAAAGTAGGTAAAGTATACCATCAAAATTGAAAAATACAATTATTCATATTAGTTACTTTTACTTAGTACTTAACACAATATTTTGTTAAGTCAACACTTTTTTGTTTCGTCTATTAAAGGAATTTAGAATTTTTAAATTTAAGCGGACTTCATCGTCTGTGCTTGCTGATGCTCTGGTTCATTGTGTTGTACCTTTTATTTTCAGTTTTGCTTCATTGATGTAGCTTTAATATAAAATGCCGAAAGTGTCAAAAGTTGAGAGAATTTTAATTTTTATAATTTTACAAGGATAAAAGTGGAGAAAAGAAGGCAGAAATTAAATTTCGGCCAGCGCTCTCTGCAGCCTTGCTTTGCCGTCGTTCACAGTCCGGGATTCTCTGTTACGACTCGTGTTAAGGAAGCATCATGGTGAGTATTGACGTTTTATTCCATCTTTGGAAAATTATTTATTGTAATGTATTTAAAAATAATAATGTATTTGTTTATTTTTCCAATTGTTAAACTAGCCTCCTAAAAAAGACGCTAAGGGAGGCTCGTCGAAGCCTGTGGCTAAAAACCCAAAAAAGAAGGAAGGAGGGTCCGGAGGAAAAGCCAAAAAGAAGGTAAATAATAAACCATTTCCGTCAATTTCAACTACTATTTTACATTATAAGTTTATATTTTAAAGTTATCGCTACACTTTTCACATTTATTTTGTGCGTTTTTTCACGTTTTGTACCACTCGACTACCATGTGCTTCTAACCTAATACTGGCCAGTTCACGCCAGACCTTTTGGCCATCCTTAGTAACTTACTTTATCGAGTTTTTCCGTTGATTTTCTCTATTCGAGACGGATCTCGGACGGTCTTTCATTTTACTACGAATTCGACTTTTTTTCCCCTTGTTGAAAACAAAAAGCACCGGATTTTTCACAAGTTGACAAAGAGGTCGACAGATGTGCCTTATTTTCTGTATAAATTATTATTTAAAATGTCCTAGATTATTTGGAAATAAGCGGTGTGATGTGATCCAGCATGGGGCACCTGATAAAACATGCTTTCTGGGGTAATGTGTTTGCCTGGATGATTGTAAATCTACACAAATCTGTGTAGACATCAACATTTATGGCAAACGAAAAATGGAGATAAAAAGCCGTACAAGTTTTGTGTTAAATTTTAGCAATAGCATATATTTGATGGGCCACTATAATGACCATCTGGAGTGCCTTCAAAATCCCACCGAAGAGGAAAAACTTTGGTTGTCTTGGTGATGGTGGTGGCAGAGGGGGGTTAAGGCCCTTAATGCCTTCTTTAATATTAAGGCGGCTCTAGACATGTGGGTATTTGCCGAATGCCGATTGCCACCGAATATTCCAGAAATGTGGCCAATTCCTGAGATGCTCGTCTTTCCATCGCCAAATAGCGTGCCTACGTGTACAAACATGCGGGTTTTGTTGTGGAGACAGGGGAATAAGTATTTTCCAAATGCTGTGGGAGTCCTCAACTGACTACAGATTGTGATGGACAACAGTGAAACTGTCATTACTGCAGCTGCGGTTAGATTTTGTGCAGTAACAACAAACTAACTGAAAAAGTATATTTAATTATATTTTTTAGATTTTTAATCATGGCTTTATTTATAAAACAATTTATGATTTGTAAGAGAAGCTTTCCAAATTATTGGTTCTATTTCATAAACATCGAGGAACTCCCAAACAGTTGCATTGTGTTAATCCATTCCTTATAATAAAAAACAATTGTTATTGTGTAAATTAAAATATCTATACTAGTTAGAAATCGTTTATTAATGAAAAATAAATGGCATTAAATAGAAGTATACGCTTACTGTTTATTTTGATAATAGTTGACAGTAGGTTAAAGTTATGTACAGTTGTAGTTGATTCCTGAATGTGTGGATGGTTTGAGTGTGGTTACTTCACGAATATTCGTGCCCTTTGAAGCGGACAAGAAAACCGACAAAAAGTCGAGCATGGTGAGCACCGGATGTTGTTATTTGGCGAATTGCCGAGCATCCAACCACACTATTCGGGATTCAACAAAAATTTGCACGGCATTCTGCGAATACCACATGTCTGGAACCACCTTTACTAAACATCCCACACACACACAACTAAAATGTATGTTGACTGCGAAATCCGTTCAGACGAGCTCGGCAGAACCCCAATACCTTACATCAGGTTGGAAGATGGGTGAAATTTTGAAAGTAACCTTGTACATTTATTATTGTAAAATTTGATGAACTGACAGGGGTGATAGGCCTGCTTGGTTGTTCCTCATTAGTTTTGGTTTGCTTTAAATTTCTTCAGTCGATCTACTAAGGAGGATAGGAAAACCAAAATTTTATCAGAAATGACCAACCTACTTGTATTTTATGAGATTACTTCTATGGATCTGAAGAGTGATGAACCTGCAGTGGTCTGTTCAAATAATTTTGTTTTGTCATCTTTGGTTTCTACCATCTTCAGAGTTTTGGCGACTGGGTCATAAATCACACAACCCACTATAGGAGATAGCTAGAAGCCGATTTTCAGACTAACCAACACTGTGATGAAAGACAGACCAGAATGGATCCGAAACCAAGCTACTTGTATTTTGTGACAATTTTCACAAGATCTTCCAGGGGTGATGATCCTGCTTGGTTATTTCTGATGAGTTTTGGTTTGTTTTAAAATTCTTCAGTCGGTCTGTAAACTAAGGAGGATAGGCAAACTAAAAATTAACTGGAAATGGCCGACATACTTGTATTTTATGAGATTACCTCAGGTTGTCTGGAAATCTCACAATACAGCCTGATCTAAATAACTTGAATGAACCCACGGTCCTGGTACATTTCTAAATTTTTCTCCACATTATGAACAAATACATAAATGGGGCGAAAGCAAAACTACAAACCCCCCTCAATAATTTAAAGTAACGCTTGGAGGGGAGGATGAAGCAAGAAAACAAATATCTTACAATTCTATTATTTCCATTGATTTTCCATTAAAAAAAAAAAAAAAATTTCATCCGTCTTTCAAAGGGAGAGGAGAGAACAGCAAAGATAGGTGCGTAAAAATGATCAAAAACGACAGAGCTATTACTTTGTATTTTGGTTGAGTTTTCTATTTTTGATGCAGTGACTCCTCTCAATAACTCGAACCTCAGGGGGAAATTTAAAAATTTGAGTTCTGAGTTTTTCAAGTAATTGAGATGTGAGGCTTATACACTCGCAGCCATACTTAACCTTTTTTTTATTTTTATTTAAATTGTAGATAAGGTATTTGGCGGTTTGCTGAATTCTTTAGTGATGTCGCCCTTTTTCTTAATGCCTTCATCTACCACCTTAATAATCTTACTTTTCTGCTCCACATTTAACGTTTTACATTTTTTGTATATAAATGAACAAACCCATAAACACAAATGAACTGAAAAAAACGAGAAAAAAACTGACCAATTAATTGTGAATTGTGCTATGCACTGTCCTGGGTGTAGGACTATTAAGAGAGTGGGCGAGAGTAGCCCATCAGATGAAGCAGGGCTGCTAAAAATTAACTGGAAATGGCTGACATATTTGTATTTTATGAGATTACCTCAGGTTGTTGAAAGAAAATTTGTCTAATCGAGGTTTTTATTTTGAAATGTTCAACTTATAGAGGTACAAATATGGGCAAACACTATAGAAAGATGAAGGTTTGAAAAAAAAAAAAAAATGAAGTTATCAACTAATTCGAGTTATTGAGAGTTGACTGTATTTTGAAGGATGCAAGTTGAAAGGGAAAACTTTTTTTTGGTCTGGCTATAACAGCCATATTTACTGCAAGAATTTTTAGTTTCCATGGGTGCATTTTACAACAAGAAAATTTTACAATTAGAAAATAAATTAGTTTAGGGATCATAGCAGTGAAATTCGTCTCAAACCCATTTTTCTCAGTTCAACTTATTTGTCCATCATATCTAGTTTTTAGCCTAATTTATTGAAGTAATATTTACCATATGATGACATAAAACCAGAGAATTTGTTTGACTTATCGATGTTGATTGTATATCATTCAACTCTGATCGATTTCAATTGTTAACTGATTTTTATTAACATTCTTTCATGAAGACAATATTATTGATTGATATTATTATTATTATTATATTGATTGATTGATATTATTATAGTGATATTATTATAAAAGTATTAACTGTTTTCATTAACTTTTGCAGAAGTGGTCGAAAGGAAAAGTCCGTGACAAGCTCGACAACCAGGTGTTGTTTGATAATGCCACATACGATAAACTCCTTAAGGAAGTCCCATCGTACAAGCTTATCACTCCTTCAATAATGAGTGAAAGGCTTAAAGTCCGAGGTTCTCTCGCCAGGAAAGCACTGAGTGAACTCTTAAACAAAGGTAAGTTTCTTTAATTCCCAAATATTTAGAAGAAATTAATTTTTGTTTTTTTGTTATCAGGGCTCATAAAGCTAGTTGTTAAGCACCACTCGCAAGTTATATATACGAGGGCTACAAAGACCGACGACCCAGCATAATTGTTTATATTTCTATTTAAATAGAAACTTTTATTAAAAAAAATGTTTTGACTTAATTTTTTAAATTTACCTCCATCTAATAAATGCCACAGTATGATATTCTGAAGTTGAATTTATTTATTTATATTTAAATTAATATGAAATTGGAAAGTTGTAACATGTAATACATGGTCCTGTGAAACTTGGGAATGGGTCAAAGGCTTGTAGGCATCGTACCTTCCCTTGTCTTAAGAAACAAACACGCACTCAGTCAAGGCGTAAATGTGTTTATTTGGTTGCTCCAGGTTAAAACAAATTAGTAGAAACTTTTTAATAAATCTTAATTACATATAAAAGGTATATTATATTACAAAAAATTGCCTATCTTTAGATTTTACATTTTTTTGTTAAATTGAGGGTTAATTAATAAAAACTGATTAATGAAATTATAAATAATTTTCTGCTAATTATCAGTAGGTTCGAGTGTATTTTTCTTCATTTCATAGCCGATAATCTGAGGCTTGTAATCCAATTGGCATGCTTTTTTAAGACATTCTGCGTACATTGGAAGCCTCTGGGTCATCTGAAAGATAAATGATTGAAAAAATTGAACTCAAACAAATTGTAGGTGAGTTTACCTTGAATCCCCAGTGATCCTGTATCTGCCTGCATAAGTTCAAGTCTATATCTGCTACTAGTAAACCATCTTTGATACGTGAAAGTCCCTGGGTAAAAAAAAATTAATGAGTTGATTTTAAGGTTTATATTATTATACTCACGGGAGTCCTTGTCCCATCGGGTGCAGTGATGTAACTGGATCCATAAAAGTGGCCAAAGTCTTCATGAGCTGGCTTGCCATCTCCAGAGGTGAAGCTGTTCGGAAAAGTCTCAGTGCCTACTCGGTTTATAGCACATGTAAAATAGTGGTTTGTTATTGCTGCATTCCTCGCCTCGATCCCCCAGATATGTTCACTGAAAGTTGAAACTTAATTTTTTTGGTTCATTACGTATAGACAAATTTAAACTACCTCAGCTTGTCAACGGTTGCAGAAGGGTTGAAAACAATTTCGGCGCCATTCAAACCAAACATGAGCCAATTGAGAGGATGGTGTCTTCCATAGCAAATATTAATTGCGACTTTGCCAAAATCGGTCTAAAAAAAATCCTCTTGAAACTGTTAGAATAAGTTGTAATGGTTTTTGTAAATACCTGAAAAACAGGATGTCCAGTGTTGCCTTCGTAATAATACGATGATTCGTTAAAATCACCAACCCTTGGAATGTGGTTTTTTCTATGCTTTCCAAGCACCTCACCGTGGTTGTCGATCACAACAGCTGTATTCCATATTATACCTGTCACATCATCTCTTTCCAAAATTGGCGATATGATCACCATATTGTATTGCTGAGCATACTAAAATAAGATTTAAAAATATTTCATTAAAAAACAAACAAAAAAAACTGCTTAGTAATTCATTAATTTCATGGTCCGCTTGACCAATTAATATCTTACAATTAATTAAGGTTTTCAGTTGAGATAAAAAGTCAATGGCACAAGCAGGATTCTAACCCACGATCTTTGGCTTGATACACCGCTGCTCTACCACTTGAGCTATCGTGACCTCAATCCACTCAGACACGAACTTCCCACCTCAACCACACCTTTTGAATTTTCCCTCCTTTATGCCATTTTTCAAATGTGTAATCGGATTGGATTCTCGGCAACAAATGAAATGGCCACGGAGAGCTTTTAGTGAAGGTATACTTCATTTTAAACTTATTCAATTCACTAATTTCGTGGTCCGCTTGACCAATTGTCTTACAATTAATTAAGGTTTTCAGTTGAGATAAAAAAGTGGGAAAAAAGGAGGGAAAATTCAAAAGGTGTGGTTGAGGTGGGAAGTTAGTGTCCGAGTGGATCGAGGTCACGATAGCTCAAGTGGTAGATTAGCGGTGTATCAAGCCAAAGATCGTGGGTTTGAATCCCACTCGTGCCATTGACTTTTTTATCTCATCTGAAAACCTTAATTAACTGCTTGGTAAGTTGTAAAGGATTTTATGGATCTATGCACAAGAGGGTTCTTTCAGTCTGGCCTCAAAACTAATGCGTGGGCCAATAGCTTTTCAAAAATTTTCATCTTTACAAGTTTATGTGACCAATATTGGTCTATTGTGCAATCTCCATTATATGAAGTGATATGTTTAATAAAGTCTACATTCTTTAGACTGAGAAGTTAAGTACTTTATCCAATTAATTATACCCAATTTTTTTCAAAATGAATGAAAATGAAAAATCTTTCGGCTAAGTACAGTGCTATTCTACCATTTGAGCTACCGTGACTTCGATCACTCATGCCACAAATTCCCATTTTGACTCCCCGTTTTATTCCATTATAAGCAAATCGTGGCTTTATACAGGAACACTTTTTATCCCCAGCTGTATTTTTATACTGCGTGACTGAAACAGCTGAGAACTGAGCAACTGACTGGGGATGGCGGGTCTCGAGACAAGTGGCAAGTGGCAACCGTGAAGTGCAAACTGACAACAAATTACCAAGTTACAAAATGAGCACCTACTTCAATTATCCACCTATCGCCCTTCAAGAGGAGCCGAAAAAAATCGCTTCTACAATCTTTTTTTAAATGACCAATAAGCCTTTTCAACCTTTTGCCTATTTCGTAATAGAGTCTTCTCCGTTTTAAAGGGAAGGGCAACAACCCTGTGAGTCCCGTGTGACCGTCTGTCGGAAATGATTCTCAACCTGTACATCTTCAGGATCCAATGATAGAGGTTTAGCTATCCCTGTTCCCAAAATCGCTTGAGAGCTACTTCCAAATTGGTTGATAATGTCAAAAGGGCAGTGCAGGTTGTATCTGAAATCTCACCAGACACAAGACTGTTGTTTTGTACATGAAACGATGTTTTTGGCTGTAACTCTAAACCAACCCATACCGAGACATGTTGGGGTAAGAGAAAATTCGAATTTATCCCAATCCCCTCCTCAGATTCACTTTTTCCCATTTTTCTTTAATTTTGAATTTATTTCGCCTTTTAATATACAGTCCACTTAACAAACAAAATTTGGTCCTCCAGGCCGGATTTGAACCAGCGACCTATGGATTCAGCAATGAAGAACTTTCTGGATTCAGTTCTGAATGTGGGGGATTCAGCAGCTTTAAAAAAGGGTATAGTGTAATATACACCCCGACTAGAATATGTACATAAGTACCATAATCTTCACATGTATTTTTTACATTAAAATTATGCGAATCATATCCACCAATCTGACCAGATGCTTGGAAGTAGAATGCATGGGACTGAAGCAAAATTGGCAAGGCATAATAATATCACTTTCATTTACGACAGGCCCAATTTTTTGCAATACTACTTTCTAAATTGACTTTGAGAATTATGTGGGATATATGGTTGTTTAGAGTTCATTAATTGTTTGATATTTGCCTATTGAGAGGAAAAATATTTGACGATTTGAAATACAACGTCAAGGTTTCTATTAAAAGAGCTGTTCAAGGCCGAATAATGTAAACAAGATGTTTCATTCTTGACTGAATAAAATTATTCGAATCATTTATAAGAACTTTTTACCTTTTTAACAAAGATAATCGTTTCTCCGTTTTCAGCAGACTCTGCAAACTCGCACCAAGGTAGTTTTTCCCGCGTGCAGAAAGCAAAGGGCATCGCTGCAAATTAAAAATGCAAAATTATATACTGTCACCCAATAACAGCCTTGGAATATTATTTTATATTAAAAAATCAAGGTCGGGCCAATTTAATAGAAAACACTCAGTTCCTCATATATTTGAGGAATATTATTTATATATAGAATAAATGGGTGTTTGCTTTTGTTCAATAAAAATAGAATTTTTTAATATTTAAAAAAAAATTGTTTATTATGCTTTAAACCATAAGTTTCAACGTTTAAATAGCTGTTCATAAACATTAAAATCTTAAAAAAATTATGCTATGTCAGGTAGCAGATATAGGCGACTTTGGAGGACCTGACTAATAGAGGGGTCATCTTCCTCTGATTAAAGTAGTTAGGCCATGTGAGGTTGACATACAGAAACTTTTGTGCCAAAGCCCTTGTGTTCCAGCAGAAGAAAAAGGTTGGTAGATATCTCAATTCCAGGGTGGATTCATTGGCTTCAAAAAGTGAAAAATTGTGAGTACCTTGGTTCCCTGTTTCGATTCTGGGTTGTATATAGAACCAATTGTGTCCCTAGCACGCTTTGAGAGTGAATGTATTTATTAGCATGAATGTTAGTGTAAGAGGACCGATAGTGGAATATTGAGTACCTATTAAGTTAGTTGCATAAATAGTGAAACTGAGTGCTTTCTATGTAAATAAGAGAGAACGTTTATTACATGAGTATTTGTTTTATGCAGCAAATTTACATCAATTTATGCAGAACTTTTTATAGTTTCTTTTTGCAGTCTTTTTTTATGCAGTCAGAAATGTATATTCACGTTTTCCTATAAGTTTTAAAATTGACAGTATTGTGAAATTTGTTAGTAGAATGTGTGATTTAAAAAAATAAAAAATGTTTCATAGGCCTGCACAAGGCATTGTCTTTGGCCGCTGGGCTGTAGTGCGGAACGAGTGGCTTTTGACATTGAGAGAACAAATGTCTTAATTATTTTTTGCTGAGTTATGTGAAATAAATATGTACACATGTATTTCTAAAGCGGCCCATAGACGGTCAATATTATTGTACAATGTAGATTGCACAATAATTTGACGGTTGCACCTTAACGTTCAATAATATTGTACAAAATTTTGTTTGTGCAATGAACTGTACCACTTGTTGATACTTCACAAACTGGCTGATATTGCGCAATAATGCCAACAGATGGTGCAATATTTTCCATGTTGTAAAATATATTTTCAACTTTTCGTCAATCATGCAATGTATTGCACAAACTCAATATCGTCTACACACGAATAATTAAATTGCACAACTCAAAATATTGTGCAATAATATTGATCGTCTATGGGCCGCTTTAAACTTTTTCTATCTTTTATTTTCTTCCTATTTTTCCTTTCATACTGACATACTCAATTTACACGATTTTTATTCGCTAAAATTAAATCCATGGATATTCGCATAAATTGAGGGATGGGTGTAGTTTCAAAATTATGATGAAGAGGATTTTGTAAATATTCCTGATTTTTAATATAAAATTTAAAATATAAAATGTAAGTGAGAATAAATTAATTTCACCCCAGGTTTCTTGCAGGCAGATGATGTTTGCTTTTAAGCTGCCAGCGGCATCGAGCATATTTCCAACCTTTTTGTGTATCGCTTTTCTCTGTTCGGAAATCGATTCGGAAGTAGATGCTGCGATTTTATTCTGGATGATTCCAATCCTGACCAGCCTGAAATTTAAACAATATCAATTTGTGCGTGGTTTTAAGAATTTATAACATACCTCGGTGCTCTAAGTTGTTCTTGGGCTGATGAAAACTGGAATCCTTTAATTTCAAAGTCTTCATCATTGGCTAAAGCCTCGACTTTCGGTTCGAAAGAGAGTTTCCTTTAATTAATTTCAGTTTTAAACAACAGAATCTGTTAGCAGATACCAAAGGGATAAAATACCTCAAGGGTTTTCCATAAATTATTCTCTGCACTTCTTTGAAATCTTCAGGCTTCAGAGCCCTCTCAAAGAGGGATTCAATGCTTTCTAGCTGGTCGCTCATATTAAACTAAATTAAACTCACTACCCTTTCCAGTTTCCTAAACTTTTATCTTCATTGGTCTGTTATGTAACAGTTGACAACTGGTCACATTCCTTTATCCCCATTGCAGCGCATTTAAATATTCTGGTATAATGTTGTATAATATTTATGCTAGAGAATAAGCTGCTTTATTTCATTTTCTTCAGTTTGATTATGGTCCGTGTTTGTTTTTACAAATTTAATTGCTTTTTTCATCCTTTTATCTTTCTTAAGATTGTACATTAAATTATACATATTATTTACATGTATGTACAATATAATTGATCATGCCAACGTTCGATCTTTATTGAGATCATCATCAGAGCCTGGGATTTTATAAATATAAACATTTTTTAAATTTTACAAATACATGTAGGATGTGAAAAAATGAATTTATACAATGCTAGAAAATTTTAGATTAAAAAAAATTATATAATGCGAGAAAATTTTATATAAAAAAAAAATGAATTTATACAATGCTAGAAATTTTAGATTAAATAAATAAATAAAATGAATTTATACAATGCTAGAAAATTTTAGATTAAAAAAATGAATTTATACAATGCTAGAAAATTAAAAAAATTATACAACGCTAGAAATTTTAGATTAAATAAATAAAATGAATTTATACAATGCTAGAAAATTTTAGATTAAAAAAAAAATTATATAATGCTAGAGAATTTTAGATAAAAAAATGAATTTATACAATGCTACAAAATTTAAAAAAATTTATACAATGCTAGAAAATTTAAAAAATTTATACAATGCTAGAAATTTTATATTAAATAAATAAATAAAATGAATTTATACAATGCTAGAAAATTTTAGATTTCAAAAAAATTATATTGCTAGAAAATTTTAGTTAAAAAAAATGAATTCATATGATGCTAAAATATTTTAGATAAAAAAATGAAGTTATACAATGCTAGTAAATTAAAAAAAAAATTATACAATGCTAGAAATTTTATATTAAATAAATAAATAAAATGAATTTATACAATGCTAGAAAATTTTAGATTTCAAAAAAATTATATAATGCTAGAAAATTTTAGATAAAAAAATTAATTTATACAATGCTAGAAAATTTTAAATTAAAAAAAGTTTACACACTTCTAGAAAATTTTAGATAAAAACATGAATTTATACAATGCTAGAAAATTTTAGATAAAAAAATTAATTTATACAATGCTAAAAAATTTTAAATTTAAAAAAGTTTACACAATGCTGGAAAATTTTAGATAAAAAAATGAATTTATACAATGCTAGAAAATTTTAGATTCAATCAAAGTATTTGTACTCACTCAAAGTGATTGTTTTCCATGTAAATGCGTCATTCTTGTATGTCGTGCTGTTTTATGTATATATACGTTGGATATGTCTGTAAAAAAATTTAAAATGTCTGTAGGTATTATATTGGTGGCACTGGTGGATTAATTGGTGTAATTTTTGTTTTTAATGCTCGTGGTGATTTCTATGTTTAAAATGTTTCTTTTGAAATGTATTGTGGCCAATCTAACATATATATACATAAAACAGCAATATTTGACTGACACTCTCAACATGACACAAGAATGACACGTCTACATGGAAAACAAACACTTTGATTGAGTACAAATACTTTGATTGAATCTAAAATTTTCTAGCAATGTATACATTCATTTTGTTTTAATCTAAAATTTTCTAGATTGTATAAATTCATTTTTTGATCTAAAATTTTCTAGCATTGTATAAATTCATTTTTTTTAATCTAAAATTTTCTAGCATTGTATAAATGGTTTTTATTTATTTTATTATATTTTTTAAATCTAAAATTTTTGCATTGTATAAATTCATTTTTTCACATCGTACTGTATTTGTAAACTTTAAAAAATGTTTATATTTATAAAATGTATATACATTTCAAGCAGATTGACGTGGAATCTCCACACAAGTTTAATCTTAAGAGATAATTAATTAGTATTTATGGAAGGTATTGGTTGAGATAAAAAAAGTCAGTGTCACGAGTGGGATTCGAAGTCACGATAGCTCAAATGGTAGCGTAGCGGCGTATTGAGCTGAAGGTTGTGGGTTCGAATCCCGCTTGTGACACTGACTTTTTATCCCAACCAATACCTTCCATAAATATTAATTAATTGAAAAATGTCAATCAGACCACGAACTGCAATGGACTTAAGAAATAAGTTAAAAAGCTTTGAACAACTACGAAGGTTTTAGTGCCAAAACATTGTGATGATCTATCTTAGTCACTGTACAAAATAATATTAAAAAATCAAGAAAATAACATAAAGCAAACTTCTCAAATAAAATAATAATTTTAAAATATCAAAACCCTCCACCAGCATGCAAACTCAAAGGCAATATGTACAATAAAAAATTAATAAAACCTTTATTCAACCAAATTATTACAATGTAATGGATAAATTAAAATGTTGCCTTTCCCCAGGATAAATTAAAATTTATAAGTATTTTAAAGACTGCCTAAAGTATAGTAATCCGTATAATCACCTCTAATTATTTATTGTATTCAGTTGTTCTCTCTCTGAATATTGCATACCTGATTTTTCCTTCGGCGACTGGAAGCCGGAAGTAGGGATGGGCCAATGAGGGCCCGCACCTTTTTCCACCCCTCAGGACACCGCTTTTTGGGTGCAAACAATCAAAAGCGGTGACAACACGAATTAAGAAAAATGTACCCAGTGTCCCCCATTCTACATCAACAACAAGCTATCATCCTTTTTAAATAAAAAAGTTAAATTTAAAAAAAAATCCCTAAGCTACCATCTTCCAAACACTTAGATAACTGTACCTACACAGCAGACTGATGTGGAATCCACATAAGACTTTTAGGACTGAAATCTGTGTTTACTCTCAAAGCCCAACTAACTCTATACAAGTCATTACTACAACCACTTTGGACATACAGAGTGGGTTCCATCCAATATTCGCATCTAATCCTTCCAATCAAAATTCATCAGATAAATTGTCCAAGCTCGTTACTACATCACTAACCTCAGCATTCCTTTTGTTATGAACTGATCCACTTCAGAATACATCTTGCTTTTGATCCATCTTAACCCTACTAACCAAGTTGTATTTACATTTATCATTCTGAGAACCCGTCACGTGAAGACCTCCTTGCTCCTTAATCTCTCATGCTGAGTGCCAGCTTTAGCTGGTTTCTCTTAACCTGTGACTGCTGGGTGAAGTACTGGCCAGAGAGTCAGTGAGGGTGTGGGAGTAAAATAAACAAGTACACATATATTTGTAATGTGTATTTTTATATGTACAGGCAACAAATAAATTATTTTAACAAAACGTCAAATTTTACCAATTTTCAGTAACTATTTCAAAATGTCTACCTAATTTTATAAGAGAAAGTGTAAAAGTGTTGAATATTTTGGCAAATTTATGGTTTATAATAATTCGACTTACGTACAGAAGACAGAGTGACAAATTTCTTTATTGGTAAATATGGATCAATTACTTTTTTGGTAAAGTAACCTTTTTCTTGCCAACAGAGCCTGGTTTACTACCCGGTTTTTTACTTTTACCAGATTTTGCACTACCTGGCTTTTTACCTTTCTTTTTTTTGAGGGAGGTCTTGGATGCAGTTTTCTGGAGATCAGAATTTTCCTTCTTCCCAGACAAGGTTTGTAGACATTCTTGAGCTTCTAAATCTTTCTGTAAAGTATTTAATTCTGACATAAGTATGGTGAAGTAGGCTCTTTTTGTATTGACGATTTCTTCTTCGAGTTTTGAGATCTGTTCTTGGTAAAGGCATTTATTTATGACTGAAGTGTTCATCTGGCATCCGAGATTCGACAGTTGTTGTTCTATCATCATAACTTTGCATTTGGCAGTCTTCGGATCTGTGAGGTCTGTCATGACGACCTGGTTAAGAGGTGGGCATTGGTTGATGGCAGTAGGACATTGCAATTGGTCGTTGTACTGTGCACAACAGTTTGTATCATAGCCCAGTGGCTGAACTGAGTTGCAACCTGGCGACGTGCACTCTGCAAGCCCACATTCAGCTGAAAGCAACACAAATATCAAATAAATACATTTTCACTTTGAAGAAATGAAAAGATGGCGAAATAAATACTATTGAAGTTATTTTTGTTGTTTTGTGTGTATGTGTGTGTGTGTGTAAAAGTCACAAAGTTTATTACAGAAAATGAACGAAACTGGAATTCTTCAGTAATGTTCATGTAACCATCAGGCGATATCACAATTGATACTTCTTATAAATTTATAGTACATATTCAAAGATAAAGAAAATTCAAGAATGCCAAATCCAAGCAATAATAATAGATAAATGATATCACAAGTGATCCGTATTGATTATCCTTCTTTTATTTATTTATTTAATTTTTGAAATTCACTTTTAATTTTTCTAAGATTTCTTTTGAGGAAAAAAATGTTAATACAAATTTCTTTTTAAGATTTAAAAGAGAAAATTTAAAGTCAGGCAGTTTTTACAAGTTGCTTAGTCATTAATAATAATTGTTTAAATATACAACAGTTGAAAAAGTACTTAAGTAAAATATATAATTTTTCACATTTCATACTCCTTTTTTTCACAGAAGTTTTTAAATTACTTTCAATGAGATTATTTGATATTTATTTTTCTATTTGAAGGCCAGTTAGTGCTTACATTTGGTTTAAATGAATTTGAACCCAATGAGCTTGATAAGGTAAAGTATCAGGGCCTTCAAATGGTCTCCGGCGAGCCTGAACTTCGGGGAAATCATCTTACCCTCAGCTATGTGGTGGGGTTCCTTGCCCAACAAGGACATCCACTTTTGGATGTGATTCTTAGTTGCCAATACAGCAGAATATATGAGCAACTCTCTAGCCGTACTCGTCCAGGACGATCTTGCCGTGTTAGCCAACTCCGAACTACTTTTATCAAGCCAAGTTCGTGAAACTTAGATCTAGGTAAGTTAGTTTTCGGCTCATCTCCACAGACACTTAGACCAGTAAAGGTGTGCCATGTGCTGTGTATTGTGAGGGTGTGTCCAATTCATAGCTGTTCCCCCTGCACTATAGCATATACATGTCAGAATTGTGTTGAAGTGATTCAAGACGATGTTGGCAATGACTACATAGTCCTCACCGACTACTTAAGTGTGGTTACTCCATGGCAGGTTGTCCAAGTGTAGGTGAGTGGGATCAGCACAGAGGCTCTCTTGTATCAAGAGCCGATGGGTGTCCTCGGAGGATCGAACTTGTAGAAGAGGAGTCATCATCACCCAATTAAGAATAGGCCATGCGAGGTTGACCGACGAACCTTACCTTTGTGGCATGTAGAGAAAGGTTGTTGAATGTGTTTAGGCTGCAATTCCTTGGCCCCATGAAGAGCATGTAGGATGCCACCCAATGTGAGAATTGTGCTGAGCATGGCAGTGAGTATCTCAGTCCCCTGATTCGATTTTTTGGAGACAACAGGGTTGTTCTATTGTATATAGTAATGATAGTTTTGTGTACCTAGCATGTTGGGAGTGAATGTATTTATTGAATGTGTTGTGTTGGTCAAATATTGAGTACTCCATCGACCATCAAATAGGTTAGTTATATAATAGGTATAAAGTGTGATGGAGGAATATCAAGGGTTCCACACCCTGACTGAATCATATGTAAAATAGTAGGAAAGAATGTATTTAAGAGTGAGAAAGAGTGAATGGGTTTGGTTTTAGGTACTGATTGCATTGGGATCTGAAATAACCTAGCTGTAGGTAGCCCCTGGTGCCCAACCTTAGCGGCTAGAGAGGTAAGACTGAGGTCTAACCCTGCCAATACTTGGGGTAGGTGATTCTCAAGGCCTGCCAGTAATTTGTTGTAATTCTCAAAAGCTCGTATTTCCGGCGGACTGCGAGAAGTGATAGGCTCAACTCTGTACACACGTACAGGTATGTGTACAGGTTTGAGCTTTATAAATCAGTAATCAGTAATCAATATTAAAATAAATTTATTAAACCAGTTTGATCATAACAATATACATTTAAGAATTTTATTTGAAAGTGGATCCAATATTTTCGGTTGACCTATTTCTTTGGAGTTGTCTTTTTGCCGGCTGCCGAACGTTTCCCACTTTTACCTCTGCTCTTTTTCTTACTACCTGGCTTTGAGCCTTTTTTCTTCCCCTTGGTCTTTTTCGTGGCGGTCGTAGGCTTTTTTTCTGTGCCAGAGCCAGAGCCCGAGCATGCCTCATGTGCCTCTATGTCTCTCTTCAAGTTGCCCAACTCTGTTTGAAGGACAGTGAGATAAGCCTTTTTTGTTGTGATGATCTCCTCTTCTAGTTTGCCAATCTTTTCTTGATAGAGACATCGATTCATTACCGATTTATTCATCTGACAGCCGAGGTCTGACAGCTGTTGTTCAATCAGAGCAATTTTACATTTCACATTAGCTGCGTCACCGACAGCTCTCATAAGGAGAGAATTTTGAGGATTTTGATTGGCAGGGCATGAATCTATGCAAGGACACGCTGAAAATTATATCCACAATTAAAAATGATTATAATATAAATGTGATAAATAATACATAAAAACTTGAATTTTTACATTTGCCCCATGAAGACCTAAAAAATTAAAAAAAAGATAAGGTAGGTGGAAAAAAAATGGGATAAACAACATCCATTTATTCATAACAGCTGAAGTCATTACTTAATTAGAAGTATGTGCGGTCAAATGAAATTTAGCAGTGTTTTAATATCATGCTCAATTTCTTGAAATAAAAAAAAAAAAAAATTGAAAGGAGTAACTCAACAATAGAGTTAATTTTAGGTTTTTCCTTGTTCACTTAGAGAAGACCAATGATGATTAACAGGTGATTTTAGGGATTGGGATTTGGTTCAAAATGGAGTAGCTTTATCAAGGAGCTATCCTGAAAATGGGTTGATAAAAAGTTGAAAACTTGGCAAAAAAAGTACAGCTACTTCGTTTCGGATAACCTCCCCCTAAAATCAAAACCGTTAATACAGCAAACAAAATTTTTGCAAAGTTTTTATGATTTTTCAAGAGAATGAATATATTGTGAGATATTTTGTTAAGGTTTGAAAGTTGTAGTTTGGTTGTCTCCGATCATCCTCTAGTTTGTCTCCATGAGATATTTCATCGTTTGACCTTCAGTGGTTGGGTTATGCTATTTTGCCAAACATATCATTTTCTGTGATTAGAATAGATTCGGCATTAAATCTGAATGATCAGAAGCGACCAAACTACTAGAATGATTGATGGTACTTGTACTTGAAATGATGAAATGACTGTTAATATTTACATAATTGATATTGTAAACCATTGTACTTACATGATGAAGGTGAACCCGCTTGTCGTTCACACATCCTTTTCTCAATTGTATGCAGCCTCTGTTCAATCATGTTTACTCTGTCCCTTCCTGGATCACAATAATTTTTAGCGGGACAAGGAGCCCTCATATTCCCTCTGTTAGGCCGTGCCGGTGTTCCCAAATTCCTGTCACACATGTCCAAAATTTCTCTTTCTTCCTCCTGTGTTAGACAGTCAAGCATTTCCTGGGTGACTCTTATATTATTTGGTTGTTGGTATCTCTGGCTTGAGTCTGTGCAAACCTTATGAGAGCCCATATTTTTACCTCTTGTTCCCAATGGTGCCCGTTTGGGTGTTGCGGCGACTGCTGATTGTGTGTGCCTACTCGCCTCTTGTATACCCGGTGCACACTGTTTGCTGTACTTCTCCTTCAGAACACAATCTTGTAATGAATTGTTGTTGTATTTGGCTTTGCATTCACTTAAAACTCTTCCGATGCACTCATCGGTCAGCCTTTCCATACAGTTCTTTTTCCATTCTGTACTGCTTTCGTTGGTCTTCTTAAGTGGAGCTGTTGACGGATTTTGTTGTTTTGTCTGCGGTTTTCCAGTTTTGTTTGTGTATTTAGCTGTTTGTTGGTTCGGGTGTTTTGCTGGTGTTGATAAAACTCGTTTTCCTTTCAAAGCAGCTTTCCTTTCCATTACAATAATACCATCGGTATCGAGTCAGACTTTTCAAAACCTAAGCCATCTCTGACCCTTGTACCTTGCCAGAGAAGCACTTCCTCCTGAGAAACAATTCTTTCTTTTTCATTTGAATCCGTCATAACCCGATCTTTCATTTTCTGTACCTCCTTAAAAGGAGTTCCTGGGGATATAATTCAAAATGCAAATTTACTCATCTTAAAACCAAATAAAAATCATTAATTCAGCTGATAGCAAGGCACATTTTAATGTAGCAAAGTCAAACACTTTTTGTTTTGTTTCCTCAAAAGCAACTTTAAAAAAATTTCTTCCAATGTTAAAGAATAATAAAGGCAAGATACTTTCAACTCCATAAGAGTTTTATAATTTTGGAATATTTCCTGAAAATTTTGTTAAAAAAACAATCACCCTAAACAGGCAAATAAAATGATTGTCTTTCGAGTAAATTTATGAAATAGAAGAATGAACAGAACAATCAATTAATTTTATTTAAATATTGATGACCATTCGCTTAAGAAGAAAATATTTAAAAACTGAAACATCCATGGCATTTAATCTCTGTATAAAAATGTTTCTCCAGTTAATATTTGAAGGAAACATTGAATAAGAAAAACACTTACCTTATTTAAATAATGAGGAATACAGGAACACAGCATACATCTTCTTTGTTTAAAAATCTTGATTATCAAAATTATTTTAATAAGGGGTTAAATGAAAAGATTTCTATTTGTTAATATACGTTTAACATGTATAAATTATTATTATCTTTTTTTTTTTTTGGTCTCACAGAACATATAACTTGACACGAATATATAATTTAAATAATTAATATTCGGTTCAATTTATTTTTGAACTCTTATAAAGGAATAAGAACAGAATAATAAAGGAAATGCTGGAAAGCTAATTGGAGGGAGGGACATAAATTGGCTTCAATTTATTATTATTGGCGCAATCAGTTCGGGCTAATAAAATTACCAGCTATTTTATTATCTTGGAGGTGATTTGATTAGGCGGAATTGTGAACATCGATTAAAAGATTTGATGGAAATCATTTAAGAAAAAGATATTCGTATAAAAGTTACTAAATTGATTTTAATATACTTTCGATTAGGTAATTTAACCTCTTTTTGCAATCATTTCTATTAATTTAACCATGTCTCTTCTCTTTGTTCCTTGGTGAGACGCTTTATGATGATCCGTGATCGGTTGTTTTCGGACTTGATCGAGATAAAGAGCGCATCAAAACTTAAAAGAAAATATATATTGTAAATATGGGTCATTAAAGCTCAACACAAACAAGCGATCAAAAAATTAGGTAATGTGCAAAAATTGGTAAATTTATGCATAAACAGGGGCAATGACTACAACCCACATAGCTGCTTGAGAAACACGATTAAACCTACCTCCATTGTAAATATATACAGAAGCTGAGAACAGCTCATAAAGACTCCAAAAACAATTAAATTATTGAGTATTTAAGACTATATGATCCTGGAAGCATTGTTTGCAACGTATAAAATTGTAACGGTCCATAAAGGAGAATAAGAATTCAGGAGAAATCAAATCAATTATTATATTATCAACTTGATACAGATGGCTCAAAAACAGGCGAAGGAACCAGGTCTGGTATATTCTCTACAAACTAAAATCACGAGCAATTAAACTCATTTGGGAAGTACACCTAAGATTTTTAAGCTGAAGTGCTATTAATGCTTCTGCCATGGAAAATTTTAAAGCTAGAATGGCAAAAAGCACTATACTTAAGATCACATAGCCTAAAAGCATTAGCGCATAAAAGATCACATCTAAAATCTCCAAATCCTGGGAAAACAAAAAAAAACAAGATGGGTGCTAAGAGAAAAATGAGTTCTGAGTAATGAACAAGCTATGCAACAACATCGACTCCAGAAGTTGCCAGACACAAGTAAACCTGCGATTAATAAACCCTCACCAAAACTGGCATACACATTGTTACAATTAGGGTAAAACTCAGGAGAGTGATAGGGTTATGGAGTGGTCACTCTCATCTGAAGAAACACCCTAGACAATTTGGGTATATTCAGATATAATCCAATTTGAAGGTTCTCCAATGAAGAGGAAGAATCTACCACCAGCATACGAACCATCAGCACAATGAAGACATAGCCTAGAGTATGTACCAAGAAGGCCTAGGAAAAAAAATATTCAGCAATGATAGTTAATGACCTACTACTCCTTCTTAAAGAATCGCATCAATTGAATTAAACTAAGGGAGTAGGAAAAATACAATAAGCCAGAAGACTTCACATATTCATCAACATCAAAATTGGGCAAACGTGTCTGAGCAAGGACAAACAGCAATAATTAGCGGGAAATGACCATGACTGACTTTAAGAAAAAAAAATTAATTTATAGCTTTAAATGCTATCTTTTTAGAAGTCAATTTGTTTTACAGCTGTCCAGAAAATTAAGAGAATTTTAGATCTTTGTTTATAATCGATATTTACGTGTCATCAAAAATGTATACTTCGAGGTTGGAAGAACGCCGAAGCGTCCAGAAATGTTCGTTTTGATTGTGTTCCATTTCAAATTGTGTTGTCTGAGTTGTGTAAAGGTGTTATTTGTGCAAAGGACACATTGGACTCATTATTGGACAAGTTTTACTGATGTAATTAATTAGTTACTTACTTTCTGTAGAGGCGCATACATTTTTGCTGGCTGCTAGCATAGTTTCGATTTGACAAAGCCTCTCTTCGAGGGTCTTGTCGTCGTTTCTCAGGTCGCAGCAGTCGATGCCCCTGTCGACTTTGTAGCAGGCTGTCGTTTGACAAACCTTCTCCTCGCATTGCTGTAGCCTCCTTTGCCTCAATCGTTCCTCGCATTTGGCCTTTATCCTGTCTTGTTCTTCTTTTGTAATGGCTTGAAACCTTGCCTTTAGCGAAAGGAACTTAGCACGGTCGTCGTCTTCGCAAGCTCTCCTGGAATGCCTTTTTTCCCTGCAGACCATCGGTATGACGGGGGCCATACTGGCAGGGACCTGCTTTAGTTTACTCCTTTCGAGCCGGTTTTTACGGCATTTGTCTAATAAATGTTTCTTTTTTTCGCATTCGGCCTCCGCCTTTTCCATGCAATAGGCCCTCGCTCTTTCTACGCACTCTATTTTCCATTCTTGAGACTCCGACGGACAAGGACATTGTGAATAAGAAGACTCAAAGCAATTTAACGTTTCTTCACAATTACAAGAATTTAAGTACCTACACTGATGCATAATTTGGGTAATCGCGGATCCCTCTTCACTTTAGGTATCCACGTGGAGTGTTTCATCGTCCCTTTGTTTTTAGGGATTGGATTTAGTTATACTACTTAATGCATTTCTTTTCAATATTTTTGACAAAATTCATGTGTACACATTTGCTTCAGTCAGCTGATAACCTTTATCTATGACAAGTTACATGAAGAGACACTTGTACTAGGATTAGGAAGGACGACCAGGTGGCATTGTTTGAACTGGACAGAATAATCCCTGATCGAATTTTATACTCAAAGGGGTGAGCACAACACGAAAAAGCTCTGTTTTAAACTTTTCTAGTTGATTCATTTCCATCTCTTCAAATTTTTTTGTTATTGGTGTAATGATGGTTAATCCTTTAATGTTCTGAATCAATTTGTAAACACTATTCCATTCGACGTTCAAACTTTAATAATAGTAATAGAAAAAAGGATATTTACAGCCCCCGAGTGTGTGGTGAGAAGGATTCAATGTTGTCTGAAAAATCTTCAAGCCTGCTATGGAAACAAGGTTCAGGATACCATCTAAGCCTACTGCAAGTGGAAAGAACTCGTCAACTTTCCAACGAACTAGGATGGGGAGAAAAAAAGACATCGAGAAGGTCCAAACTTCGCAGACAAACTTAACCGCACCAGCTGGAAACAAGCATTACCCGTCATGAAATTCACTCGGGCATCGAATATTTGTCTATTCTAGAAGAAAATTTGGTCAATGTTCTAACAAGCACAACTGAGGTTCTGAAGAGGTGCCCGATTTTGGCGAACGTGGTGAAATTCTGGTTCGACGAGACAAATGCCGCGCACTTGACAAAATGCAAAGCTGAAATATTACGAAATGTGTGCAATCCAGCATCAACCCTCATCCATCCTGACCTCGCCTCATCAGACGCCACTTACATGCAATGTCACAATAGAAATACAAAAAGTGAAACCCTGGGTAGAAAAGGCGGTTTTTTTTACAATACAGGGAGTGGTATCGCAAGAAAATTGAAAATATTTCTTCTATATTGCAAATCAGCATAAAGTGATGGGCAATTGAAAGTGCTTTGTTGAAAATTTAAAATAAATTTAAAATTCTTTTCAGTTTAAAAAGCAGGTTATTTATGTAGACGTTCAAATTTAATTGTAACACTTCATTAAATGACGATTATTTGTTTACAGCGAGGATAAGCGGACAAGTATCATCCTGAATTATACAACTCAAAAAATTAAAATTAAGAGATTTTTATTAGACCTATGCTACTTTCTGTTTTTCCCCCGTAACAGCAGAGGTTTGGTAACCCTGAGGGTTGCCGGTGTTTTTGAAAAAAAGCCCATTTGTAAGTATGTCGGATTCGAATGCAGGGCCGCTGGATTCGAACTCGGGACCTTTACCTTACAGCGGTGAGCGCCGTGTCAACGCCTAAACCGTTGTGGCCACCGACGCCCTAGATATACAGTTTGTTGTAAGGTGGAATTTGATACTTAAAGAACAACCATATGAGACGGATCATTTGATAGGATTTTCAGGCAGACCAGTGTCATTTGCGGCTGTTCACTTTGTATAGAAAATAGTTGATTTTTTAATGAATTTTAAAACAAATATTCTATGGCAAAAAGTGTTTAAAACTATTGAAAACTCTGAAAGTAAATAAAAATAAGTATGCTGTTAGTCAGAGGCATGTTTGGTTGTAGTGGAGAGTTTGCAGTTATGCGATCGATGGATTTCTATGTTATCCATGCTGAGATTGATCGTTAAGTATACTGCGTTGATTAACTTGATGATGACGAGAAGGATACTAGGAAGCGGGGGTTTTGTATTCCCTAAGCTCTCCAACCTTTGCGCTTGTTGTTGGTATTCCTGCTGGGTTGTTAATTCGGGCTGGTCGACAAGGTCGCTGTTTAATTCAAGTGGAATTGCAAGGGGAAGAAAAATAAAAGACTTAAGAGGAAAAAGACCGATATGTATGAAGTCTGGGGAGCAAGTACGAAGCGCGGCGAGAGATGGTCGGGCGGGGGACTTTGCCTTATAATAGTAGAGTCTAGGCAACAAGGCCTTGTACACACTTGCATACAAAATCGAACGATTGGCTAGAGACATTTATAGGGACTGCCTATTGAAATGGAGGCATTCTTTCCCAATCTTGCTCGACGTCCTGACAAGGACGTGAGGATCTTTTAAGACTGCGCCTTGTCTTAGGGCCAAATCGGTTCCCCGTGCGAGCATCGTTTCTCGAGAAGGAAGGCGACACGCTTCCGTCTACGTTGGGATGTGCAATACCGTAGATTTTCACGTAGCGCCTTGAAAAAGACACTGAGATTGGAAGGCGGAACGGGATTCCGAGATTTTGTTCGGATGAGTCCAGCCGACTTCGAATGTCATTTGGAAACGGTTGGATCACACATTTCGAAAAAGGAGACGAATTTTAGCGTGCTAGTTTCTGCTATCAATCGCTCTCCGTTTTCTCGCAAGTGGAGACTCATATGCAAGCCTAACTTTATACTTTTGGTCTAACTCAGCCACAGTGTCTGCTTTCTTTCCCATGTCTTTGTATTCCTCTGAGGAAACGTCCCAGAAACATCGCAGCATTTGTTAATCTTCAACTGTAAAGTGGAATCCATATTTTAACGAAAGAGAAAAATAAAAATAAAATAAACAATGCGCGAGAATTGTTGAGAGGCCCGCTCGGTTTGATTCACGTCCTCAGCATTGAATAAAGCGGGGAACACACCAGATACAACGGTATGCGATGCTACCCGACGCCTTGTCACATTTTGGTGGGGTGTGCCACAGTCCACAGCGAGTATCACAAATCAGTACCACAATCGCAACGCCTCTTTTGTTCTTAATGCAATATTTTGACCAAAACCATGTAATAAATTGTTAGTTAAATTTTATGAGCATAACCATGTAATAAATTATTAGTTAAATTTAATTGTTTTAAATAAAGTCATTCTGGTGTTTTGATAAATTTTCTGCTTAATCATCATAATTAAATAATTTTTATACAAAGTCATGAATTTTTGATCTCGTTTAATTTGGTTTATATTAAAATAAGAATGATATAATTAATATAACGACAAAATTATATATATTCATAATTCGCTATAAACTACAAAAAATAAGAGTGCCCGTTCTGACATTACGTGACGAAAAGGTGTAATTTTGTGAGCAAAACCATGAAATAAATTGTTAGTTGAATTTTATGCACAAAACCTTGTAATAAATTGTTAGTTAAATTCATTATAACAAAAAATGGTATTCCGGTGTTTTGATCAATTTTCTACCAAACCATTAAACTTAATTTAAAAAAAAAAAGAAAAAAAACTAATGAATTTTTGATCTCGGTTAATTTGGTTTAAATTAAAATAAGTGTGTTGTAATTAATATAACGACAATAATACATGTAGTTTGAATAAAGTGACCGGTTCTTTGTCTTCGACTGTACTCGATGCTACCCGACGAAAATCTGGACAGTAATGATCGCGTAGCGTAAAGTAGGGTAGCGTGGCGTAGCACTGGGCAGATGGTAATATAATCTTATGGAAAAATGGACTTTGGATTTGCGTCGGGTAGCGTCGCATGGCGTTGAATCGGGTAAGTGTGTTCTCGGCTTAAAGAAAACCATTTAAGATGGGAATCAAAAAATTCTAAAACGCAACACACCAGATTCAAGATTGTCGCGTCCTGGACTCAAGAAAATTAATCCCAGATGCAGCTCTGCGACAAAGAATCCGAACAAATAATCCCAGTGCGCACTAGGCTTTACGGATTGTGCAAGAGAAAAATATATTTTCCTTAAAAGTTGAATTTCATAACGATACGTAAAATTCTAAATTTATAAAAGAGCTTTCTCAGACTGGAGACTAAAGAATCCATAGATAAATTAAACCTCATATTTGAGTACAATGTCACACCAAGATATCAAACACTGTAGGCATAGGGCAAGCAAGGACACTCATCATTATCTAGTTTATCTATTACATAGTTTTGGAGCCTGTATGAGCTTATGGTAGCTTCTTCTTGTAGCCCCAATCGATTCAGCCACACTTCCAGATCTTATAGGAAATTGAACGCTGAGTAAAAAAGGCCCTTTGAACCTGTGTCCGCAAACCCTTCAGTTCCGAGCAACAGGCAAAAAAACCATGAAAAACCACGTTTTTTGACCTTATTCGTGAAATTGTTAGTAAACCGTTAGCCTGACCGTAAAACAGCTCGAAACAACATCTGTAGAGGATTAACTTCTGCGTCGAATAAGATTAAAACCAGCCTGATGGGCCGAAAACTTCATTTTTGGGGATTTTTCGAAGTTAGGAGGTGAAGGAGTACACAAAATTCACCATTTTCATTCACTATTTTTATCGAAAATTTACAACTTCGGTTAGCCGTTCAGATTTTTCGTACATTATTTTATTCAGTAGGGGGTACCCATCAGAAAACAGTTCAAGTTGTGAATTTTCGATAAAAATGTCAGAAATGGTGAATTTTGTGTACCCCTTCAACTCCTAACTTCGAAAAATCGCCAAAAATGAAATTTTCGTCCGATCATGCTGGCTTTAATCTCATTCGACGCAGATATTAATCCTCTAGAGATGTCGTTTCGGGCTGTTTTACGGTCAGGCTAATGGTTTACTAACAATTTTACGAATAAGTTCAAAAAACGTGGTTTTTCATGGTTTTTTGCCTGTAGCTCGGAACTGACGGGTTTGCGGACACAGGTTCATAGGACCTTTTTTACTCAGCGTTCAATTTCCTATAAGATCTGGAAGTGTGGCTGAATCGATTGGGGCCACCCTGTATATTATGCTTCCAATGGATAACAGTGTTTCAAAGCGCCTGATGGGGTTGGTTTATTTTTACACACTACATAATTTTTGGCCGACTAAATTTTTTTTATTGTGTTTGTGTCCATCATTTTAATGAGCCACAGGATATCTTATTATTGCTGCGTGTATAACCAATATGCCAGTTTTAGTTCCAAGATTTACTTAGATTTTTTTCTTGTGATCAAAAATTATAATTAACTTTAGGTTATGATTTATTTTATACATTTATTTCAAAGGAATTTGATTAACTTAAGTATCCTGTGTGGATTATCGTTCTATACTTAAATTATTTGAATGCCGTCCCTGGAGCTTTTCAATATCTAAATGTGTACAGAGAGAAGAGTTATGACTTCATTTAACTCTCCATCTTATGAGACGAGGCTGTTATGCTGCTATCATTAATATAGCCATCAAGGAAACGTGCCTAGATGCTCCGTATGACGGGGACACATCTGGGGACATCTTGTTAACTATGATAGATAACCGTACACGATAGACATTGATGCATATATTGAAATCATAAAATGTAATCCTGATATTGACTTATTTTAGTTTAAATACAATGAGACAAAAGTTTTATTCTCGTTCACATCGCTGATTTTACGGTGGATGCCTGGTTTGCAATTCAAATATTATTAGATTCCTTGTTTTCTATACTGCTTTTGTTCGAGTTTTTTGGGCCAGACGATTGTTCGCAGTTGAACGTTGGTTTTTTAATGGTGTCAATGAGATGTGTGAATGTGCGAGGGGGAAAAGTTCAGATGATTTCGACAGCGAGAGTGGCCCATTCCGGGTCTTATCGGCAAAAAGGAAAGATACGCTCTTAGGAAGTTTCTTCCTGATTTTTCTTTTTCTTTACAATCTATTGAATTTTGTTTAATATAATAAGATTGTATCGCAAAAACGTGTACATTTTTTTGATGATTATTTAGAGATCGTGAGAAGCGGTCTGGTGTCATAATGGTTTAGAAAAACATTTTCTTTATCTTGCTAACGTTTCGATCTTTAGTGAGATCATCTTCAGGGCCTGGGATTTATAATCACCAATATTTAAATTATTCAAATAAATGGAATTTATACAGAGATGTATACAATATAGAAATTTTAAGTTCAATGAAAGTATTTTTACTCACTCAAAGTGTGTGTTTTCTGTGTAGAGTGTTAGTGAGATATTAATGTTTTTTGTTTGTTTATATATATATATATATATTTGATTTTGAAAGGGTGGGGAAGGAAGATGAAAAATTTAGTGTCACGNATGTTTGTTTTGTTCTGTGTTTAATATTTTTGGATTGTTGAAATCGAAATTGTGTTGGTGTTCAAAATGGTGGGTAGCCAGTGCTGTAGGATTTTCCTTCGTTTTTTTTTTTTTGCCATCATAAGTATGTTGCTTTACTCTCTTATCCAAATATTGGGATGTAATTCCTATCTAAGTTGCCAAATGTATACAATTAATTTTGTAAATTACATCAGACTTATTTTTCACAAGTGTGGGATGTTAAATTTTGGAAAAAAGGGTGTAAATAGTTTTATAGTTTTTGAAGTTATCAGAAGAAAGAAACGTGTTTAATTTGTGTGATAGGGCCTGAACGAGTGGAATGGATCTGTATGTTGGTTTGTCTAATAGAATTGATGTAGTGCTATTAGTAATAGTGGATGGTGTTGAGTTGTAGTTATTGAGTATTCTGTTGATTATGTGTTTAGGGCAGTAATTCCTATGTAGGATATTTTTGTATGGTGAAAACTTTTATGGCTCAGGGTAATAATTCTGTGAAGTACCCCCTTGGCCGTGTTTATTGTTGTATGGAGCAGATGGTGTGATGTAAAGTTGAGGTAGCGATCCCTGTTTCTTGGTTTTTGATACCAATCTGTGATTAATCAGCCATCTGGTTGTTTCATCACGAGTGTATCTAAAAATGGTATTACTTTGTTGTTGTTTTCTATTTCACGTGTAAATTGAAAGCGTGGGTGAAGATGATTTCAATAAAGATCGAAACGTTGGCACGATAAAGAAAACGTTTTTCTAAAACCTACGTCACACCAGACTGCATCTTACGATCACTATATACTCATTAATTAAGGGTCGTTAAACACCACATTAAAGTATACCTTCCTACTCAATGGCCTTCCTACAACTGACGACCTTCCCAAGACTGCTGTCCAAGACACTCAATAAATCCTTCAAGTTTTTAAAATTACTAGTTAAATTATTGAAACTACAAATTATGTTTTTCCGATTTTATGAAACTGTATTTAATGTAAGTTGCATTCAAGAAAGCATATTTGTTTGCACTAAACAATGACAAATTGTCTAGCCGTAAATCCCTTTTTTCTAGCATATATCAACAAGTAAATATTGACAAATGCTAAATTTTTAGCTTTATTCAAATTAACGTTACGTACTACATATTGGTAGTTTCATCTGTACTGCTCTGAATTAAACAAATTTACCCTTATTATATAAAGTGGGGTTCAATCCTGACCTAGATTAATTATTATTTATTTTTTCAATTAATTAATCTTTATGTAAGGTATTGGTTGAAATGAAAAAGCCAGTGTCACGAGCGTGATTCGAACCCACGACCTTATACGCCGCCTCTCTAGCCACTTGGGCTATCGTGACTTCGATCCACTCGGACACCAACTTCCCACCCCAACCTACCTTTCAAATTTTCTCTCCTTTTTGCCATTTTTGAACCACCATTGAAGTTGGTGTACGAGTGAGGTTGCGATAGCTCAAGTGGTAGAGCAGCGGCGTATTAAGCCGAAGGTCGTGGGTTCGAATCCCGCTCGTGACACTGGCTTTTACATTTCGACCAATACCTTACATACAGATTAATTATAGATTATGTTCATTTAGAGTTCGTGAGATGCTGTCTGGTGTGACATAGGTATAGAAAAACATTTTCTTTATCGTGCCGACGTTTCGATCTTTATTGAGATCATCTTCAGGGCCTGGGATAAACATTGTTGGAATTATAAAAATACATATAAGATGTGAAAAAATTAATTTATACAATGATAGAAAGCCCAGGCCCTGAAGATGATCTCAATAAAGATCGAAACGTTGGCACGATAAAGAAAATGTTTTTCTAAACCTACTTCACCCCAGACCGCATCTCACGATCTCCAAATAATCATTAATTAACGGTCACTAAACACCACACGTTATAGATTATGTATGTTGGGGTTGAGGGGTGGAGCAGAAGGGACTTAAAAAAGTCCAAGTGGGACATCGCACAAAAAACGTTGGGAAATACTGACGTAGACCCTACCAGAAGTGTCACCACTGGGTGATTCTTCACCACCCTAGTGCCAAATAGTCCCGATTTTTTTAGCTAATTTTAAAACCTGTGTACTTCAACAATTTTACTTGTAATATAAAAATAAAATACTATTAAAAAAGAATCGAGTAAATAAAATGTATTTTTTAAATTCAACTTGGTTAACTTTTAGCTCCACTATTTTTATATATTGTGATATCTTTTGCGTATCTCTTTGTTTGTTATTTGTTTTACTTAATTGTAATTTAGAATTCATACTACTGCTCTGCTTAGGTTTGTATTTTTTCTTTTTCTACTAAGTACGACAGCAAACCCCCTTGCCGGTCCTATTGACCATGGTTCTGGACTAAATGACTAGGACTGTGAAATTTATGTATTTGCATATTTTTCCTGGTTAACTAAAAACATCCAGGTTTAACAAACTGTAGGCTTGGAAGCATTTGGAATCAATTTAAGTTATATTTATTTTGCATATTTGTGGATATATTGCCATAAATGCGTATTTTTGCTTAAGTGGGTTATAATTGCATTTTTTTAATATATCCAGCATATCGGTTTTTGGCACGTCAAATTTGAATGTTTCTGAGCAGGAAAACAGAAAAATTCTCCGAAAAAGAGTTTCGGGCTCCCATTCTTCAGTTTCCACATAATGAACGAGTTTCTGTTTGCTCAGTTGCTGCTCCTCCACGTTCGGCCGACTTTCGGTCGCCTTTGCTTCTCTTGAAATAAACAGAAAAATGAATAGTGTTTGTACCACTGTAAATGCTCTTTTGGAATAGTTTAATTGGATTCATAGAACTATTACGACCTCAGTTCTCTTCTTTCCCTACCATCACACATCTCAGTTTTACCCAGTCTCTCATGCGTTTTACATCGTGAAACATTATTTGTGTGTGGTGAACTATTTCTAAAATTCCGAAAGTCACCGCAAAGACGAAAGATCTTGTTCAAAAGTGCGTGAGTTTTCAAATGAGACTTTTAAAGGCTATGCAGACGTTTTATACTGTGTTTGGTGTGATAAATCTGTATCAACAGCTAACACGTTTTTTGGTAGCACAGCACATAAAGAGCAAAACACAAGGAAAACAAAAGTTGGAAATCTAAGTATCAACAAACAGCTGGTACATGAGCTGGGTCTGAAAAGACCGGTTTCGATATTGATTTATGTCGTGCTTTAGTTAGAGCTGACGTACCCATAAACTAAGCCATCCCGAATAAGGTTTTTTTTGAGAAATACACGGGGAAAACCATTCCCCTCGAAAAGACCCTCAGGAAATCTCACCTGGATTTTATATACAATGAAACACTCCATNAAACGTTGGCACGATAAAGAAAATGTTTTTCTGAAACCTACATCACACCAGACCGCATCTCACGATTTCTGAATAATTATCGATTAACGGTCACTAATCAACATACATATATAATTAATTTAATTTGAGGTTTCCTTATTTTTTCTAATGGTAGATTTCGCATATTTTCAGTTTTAAGTGGCATTTTTTACCAAATATATTTTTTACATATATATGTGCATATTTGTCTGTTTTTATTGCATATTTTTATAGCCCTACTAATGACTAATGAGTATTATTTGTCTCCAAATGTGTTTTGTGTATTTAATGTACCAGGTAACAGAAAAGTTGGTGTGGTTTTTCATTTGTTTCGTTGTTTTAATAGCGTTAATCAACATTACTACATTAAAAGGAAGATTAGGTGTTTACATCACGTAATACGATAATACAATCATAAAGAAAAAAGTGCTATAAGCAGTTAATTCACTGTAAATGAGAAAATATTTTCTTTCTCATGGCTTCAAAGCCCATAATTCGTACATGTAATACTGTATGGAAAATATTTCGCTACCAACAATAGACATTAATACTAATGAAGTTTCTTTGAAAATAATAAACCAATTGAATAATAATACGAGTTATGAGGAATTAGAAATGATGGATGGCGTAATTGAAAAAGTTTATTAACAATAATTTAAAGTGGATACAAATCAGACAAGTTAAAATAAATTAATGATCCTTGCTGTGACAGTCAGAGCAGCTTTACCAGCGAGATCATTCATGAACAATTAGCCGCCATGTTTAAATTTATTGCGTTAATTGTTTTAAATTATTTCTTATTGATGGAAGATCGTTTTTTTAAATTTTGATCCAATGATTGATCAGTAGGAATGGTGTCTACAATTTGTTCGACATGGTAAAACTCCACTGTTTACACTTTTCTAAACTTCTTCTAAATAATTTATATATATTAAATAGTAAAACACTTGTAACAAATATGATATAAACATATAAAGAAAGATAAATTAGACGAGCAGTAGCTCAAGATTATTGCTAGGTTACACGTTACTTTGAACTGTTGAACCAGGCCCGGTAGCAGTTATACTGGCCTAAACAATCTTGATCTTCAAACTTAAATCTAACAAAGGCTTTATCACATTTTAATTGGTGCGGTTAAAATTTTTGTACAAGTTTGTGTGGAGATAATTTTTAGGCGTTTATCTCACGAGAAGGCAGGGGGAACAGTTTTGTTTGTCGATGACGAACATGGGATGACACCTGGAGCATTCGGAGTTGCGCCTTTTGACGAAATTGGTCGGTTTGAACCTCGATTTGCCGTGGACGTTGATGCTGACGACGATCGGCTCGTCTCTGGGGATCTGCGTTTCGGCTGGGGGGATGTAGAACTCCCTGCGCGGGTCGTGGAGATGGAGTTCGATCGTGTTGCTCTCTTCCTGGGAAGCGTCGAAAGGAGGCAGTAGGTCCAGGGACGGCTGTTCGGGCGTCGATGGGGTGACCCCGTTGTTGAAATCTGCGGGTTCGGTCCTGCTCGCGGGCTGAGAACTCGTCATCGGCGCGGTACGTGCGAGGACCGCCTCCGAATTGGGGGTTTCTATCGTGCTTCTGAAAGAGACGTTCGTCGGCCTGAAAGCCACCCGGGTCGCTTCGGTGGCGGGCGTCGACCTAGGCGACGGCACACCGACTTCGAAGGGGATGTTGCTCGTGATGCTTCTGAAGTTCTGGGAGGCGAGAGAGGCCGATGGCGAGTGCTGCAGATCCGACCGGTCCAACGACGACGTCTGCGGCAGCTGAGTCGGACTCAAATTCAACTCGTTGAACCCTAATGATTTGGATGCCTTCTCTCTAGGATAGTAATTATTCAACCTTTGTAGATCCTCTCCGCTAGGAAGGCTGTTGAATTCACCTGAAAGACAAACACACGATTTGATAACATCAAACATTATGATAAGCAACAATAAAAAACATTATGAGATTACTCCATGAGTTCTGCAGTATGTCGAACCTACAATTCGGTCGTTATCGATCAGTTTGGTCTGCCTATTCTCACTGGTTTAGCCTGACAGACGCGACCTCTTCAAAACAGGGAACCAACAAGGTAGGCAGACCAAACAATGAAAAAACATCGACAACATAGACACAATTTGTTTGGTCCGTCTATTCTCGCTCTTTTCACTTCACGGTTTTACTAAAGATAACAAGGAGCCATAACAACTCTGACGGACCAAAAGTATCGGTAGCGACCAAACTACGGATTTTTCATCCCAGCTGACCCCAAGGTAAAATCTCACAAAATACCCAACTACCCTGCTAATAAGTAAAGTAGAAATTAAATAAACCACTTACAGTATGTCAAATATGTAAGAACCTATTTAATAAAGAATACATCAAAATCGTACTCAGTACTCTCAACTACAAAACCCTCAGGGGTAAAACACTACCAATACCGATCCGGTTATTACAACAGGCAATAAACGGTGACTCCGGAAAATATGTCAAAAAAAAGAACAGTAAATCCAGCACTGAAAATGGCAAGAAGAAGAAACGCGCCTGACAGACTAAACAAGCGAGGATAGACGGACCAAAATGATCGTTAACGACCGTACAATAAAAAATCATACATCTACAACATAGGCACAATTTGTTTGGTAGTTAATGACTTAACTACAGGTTCGCCAACCCGCACACCACAGTATGATATTACATGATAGACACAATTACCATGCAATGATTAGGGATGGTTGCTGCTAATAAACTAAAGACATACAAAACAAGTAGGAATTAAATGAGCCACATATGATTTATATGTATTGATGACATATACATATAGTAAAGAAAGCTAAACTCAAAAATGTATCAAAATCGTTCTAAAAATTCAAACATTTATGAGCCAGAGCATTGGCCAGAGATTATGCAGAAAAAACTGGAAAATAAACACCACGATGGCTTTACACAGCTGATACACCACAACGATCAGACCTTGGTCACCTATGGAGCTGTAGTATGATGACAAGGAGACACAGAACAACCTACCAAATCTACAAAGACTAGCGTGTCTTAATTTAACAGGGGCAATTCAGGCTTACCCCGGTACAGCACTGGACCCCACCCTACCTTCATATTTACATATAAGACGGCTATTGAGGTGCCAACAGATTCTTGAGATAAAATGAAGCCAGATCCAAGGAAGCGGAACCACAAAATTCTGGAGAGAATTAAAATAAATTTGATGGCTATCTGACAAAAAGAGAGAAAAACTCAACTTTGACTCTTAAGCTGGTCGCATACTAGGTTGGTGGGGCAGCGCGGCGCGTAATTGTGAAGGTCCGCACACTATGTAGGAACCGCTCTCGCCGCGTTGGTCAAATTTTCACCCTCCATCTGACACCGGCTCCAGCTCTGCGGTTTAGTGTTGATTTTGCATTTCCAGGAGTCCCACGTCACAATGGTTGGCTTCGTCTTTACAAATATGGCGTCCGAGGGTAGCCGAATATATCCGAACTCAACGATTTCCGAGCTCCCCAGCGCACGCTAGGCCGGTAGCGCGGCGCGGAGCCGGGTTTCAGAAGTCTGGCAACTTCGTCCGGCTCCGCGCCACGCCGCCCAACAAGCCTAGTGTGCCGGGTTACATTCATTTCAATGTATTCTTCATGGGGGTCGGTTCCGCGCCGCGCCTCCGACCTAGTGCACGCCCAGCTTTAGAGTAGTAATATTCAGTTGGATCAAAGATGGGACAGTGAGTAGGTGTAGGAGTAAAAGGCCCTGTACCCTAGCCAATAATTTTGGACTAATCCCAGCATTTCTAAGCTGAGGTGCATAGGCTTTAAAAGGGCACTTTCCAAGGTATGGTAACAATTTATAGGGGTTCGACTATAGATCTATATGGGTCGCAGTGGAGGATCGGATTTTTAAAATCCTTATTCAACTCCCAAAACCTAAAAAGATCATATAACTATTAAACTCATATAACTATATGATTTTGTTGATCGACCTGCAGATAATCTATCTAGGGTTCCAATCTTCGTAGAGGTCATTAGGCAACGACAATGTCTAATGACCTCTACGAAGATTGGAACCCTCATATAACTATTAAAAATGCTACGTAATATATAGACTCCAATGATCCCAACAAATGAAAACACCTTGACTAAAACAGATTCACTGTGTACCCAATCACTCGTACATTAAAAAAAATATATAAAAGAAAATAATTGACAAAATAACAAACAGGCCAATCACTGAAGACGTAAAAATCGTTGAAAGGAGTCTGGCAGATTGAAATAGCGAGAATAGGCGGACCAGGAGACGATCAAACGTCAGGATTCTAGGACCTATCCGCAGTTATTTTCAATCAAATTAGTTACAATTATGAAAAATTATCTTTACAGTGTTTTGATGTATTAAAAGTAGTTTCTGAGTTTTAAGACGATTGAACAAACGAAAAAAGAAATTGAATAAACTCTTAGTCGTTATCAACCTTAATTAGTAATAAAATTGTTTGAAAATTTATAAATTTAAAGTCGCGTAGTAATTTCATGCTTGTTTTCCCTAATAAACTCCCTAAGCTCATCGCCTTCAACACGAGATTCAAGAAACAATCAAAATATTTTCCTTCCCAGCACTTTTTCCGTATCGTCTGCCAAAGACAGAAAAAATGGCGTTTTCCTCGGATTATATTTAAAAAAAAATTTAGGAGGGTATATCACTGGGAAACCGATTAAGATGATACAGCAAAGTTCCCGCTGACATGAATAAAATTCGGGAACAAGGATACCAGCTTTTAGACGGTTTCACGCACTACCGGGCATGAAATAATGACCCCTTGACTCCTAAGCGTGTCGATCGGACACAAAAAGTGGGAAATCTGGTTGCATACCGATGTGAAATCATTCTTGAACTCTGGAAAAAGTCCGCATCCTTTTTGCATATTTGAATTTTCACTTGAAATTATACTGAATTTTTAGGTAAAATTTGACTTCAATTCAAATGCGAACAAAACTGACAGAAATCTTTACTTTTAACAGGTTTAAACACGGCGAAAAATAAAGACTTCTCAATAACAGTTTGGACAAAATTTATATCGTTAAATTCACTAATTTCGTGGTCCGCTTGACCAATTAATATATTACAATTAATTCAGGTTTTTAGTTGAGATAAAAAAAGTCAATGGCATGAGCGGGATTGGAACCCACGATCTTCGGCTTGATACGCCGCTGCTCTACCACTTGAGCTATTGTGACCTCACGAGGTGACGAGAGCTCAAGTGGTAGAGCAGCGGCGTATCAAGCCGAAGATCGTGGGTTCGAATCCCGCTCGTGCCATTGACTTTTTTATCTCAACTAAAAACCTTAGTTATTTTTAATATATGATTAAAGTTCAAATGTTTTAAATTAATGAGCGAATCATTGAAGATAACATGTTTTGAGCTATTTCAGATACCTTCTAACCATTATCGACCATTTTTTTGGGGCAGATACAATCGTTCAATAAATTGTCAAACACGCTTAGCTCCAATTGTTCCATAATTAAACCAAGTTTAATGGGAAGCCGTTTTTTTAACGAAACTTTGACATTAGATACATAATTCATCATTTTCCATATAAATAAGATCAGCATGATATTATTAAAAAGAAAGGCTTACAAAACAAAGAGCAGTTTCTGTAGACATTGGTGTTCCAATCTATTGGAAGTACTTAGGGGGTTTCAAACGATTTTAAGACTTTCCTATTTTTTTTATAACTGATACGCATTTTATTTTCAATTTTGACAACCAATTCTATTTCAAAAAGGCTGTACTTTTTGTTTAAAAATATAAATACTTACTTTTTCCAGTAATTTAGTTGTTCAAAGAGATAGGGATAGGGATAAAAGAGGTGGCCACAAGCCCTTCTCCCTTCACCTAGACCTGAGTAGAGCTATTGTGCTCCTCTGTTTTTTATAACTCACTGGCTAGCTTCAAGTTGTTAATCAACCTCCAGACCAGCGAATCCTTAGTGTAGGATCTGGCTTGCGGCATTTCCTTTCCTAGTTGCAAGAATCTCCACCTACAAAGACCTTCACAAAAACATAAAATGTGTTCTGCGGTCCTGCGGTGCATGTGCCTTCTTAGGTGGCAGTGCCCTGTCAGGAGACCGGATCCTGGTTCGGTTGTGGTTGCCCTCCTTGGAAATCTTTCAGAAATCTTCTATGGACTCATCAAGAATGCATTGTAATATGTATCTTCTTTTTTGGCAAGATGCTAGGCCACAGTGGGATTCAGGACCTAGAGAGTAGAGAGTTCACGTTGGCTCATTCTTTGGACATCTCAACCTTTTCATTGCCTCTACGCCCCGAATGCCCAGGGACCCTGCCAGGGTTGTTCAAAGAGAGGCCGAACTGTTGCCATTTTTGGTATCATTTCCCAAAATCTATTTGGTCTATTACAATCAATCTATTTTCAATTCATTTTCTTAGTATTATATGAATCCGTAGCTAGAAAAAAAATGAATCGCAAAGTTTTGGTAGTAACTTAAGAAGAAATTTGACAATTCATTATATTTCGTGGTCCGATTTACCAAATAACTACTTTCAATTAATTAATCTTTTTATGTAAGGTATTGGTTGAAATGAAGCCGAAGGTCGTGGGTTCGAATCCCGCTCGTGACACTAGCTTTTTCATAGAAATGATAAATGATGGAGTGAGTGTGGTGTTCAATCCTTTTTAAAAAGATAGTTCCTACTCACAGTAAGTTGTTTTGCAACGATCCGGATTTCGAGCCTTTTAGCTCATCATCAGGTTGAAGGGCTTTTACAACCTGATGATGAGCTAAAAGGCTCGAAATCCGGATCGTTGCAAAACAACTTACTGTGAGTAGGAACTATCTTTTTAAAAAGGATTAGCTTTTTCATTTCAGCCAATTCTTTACATAAAACGATTAATTAATTTTAATTTGACAACTTTTTACTGCAGCCTTTTGAGCCTCTCGTTCAGTAAACTATACTCTATAAATTTAAAAAAGTCTGTTTTCCCTTTATAATGACTAAATAAATAATTAAAACTTGCAATTTTGGTCGGGAAAAAGTTAGCTTCTCCCTTTTACAAAATGCTGGATTTGATCCAAATATTAGATTTGTTTAAGAAAAACGTACAAGGCAAAAATGTACCTATTTGTCAAAATTGTTCACTTTTCAGGATTAACTGATATGATTGTTTGAAAAAAAATTTAAAATATTACAGAAAACTGCTCAGTAGGGAAATTACAATCCACCACGAGTAATACAAAGCTGTTGTTTTTATCTTTTGGAACACTCACTGGCCGAGATGTCTTCAACGAACAGCTTGTCCCTCTGTCCGATAAGGAGATTTGCATGGTAATCTTCCGGCGATCTCGTGCAATTCACCTGGTACCAGTGGGCGCAGATAAGCATTCTCTGGTGAAAGAGGGTCGTGTTCGGACAGGCGTAGCTGTACTGCCTTCCTCCTTCGCCGCACATGTGATACACCTGCGATAATAAAATTTTGTATTTTGATTTATTACCAATGGGATTTATATTACCTGGCAATCAGTCTCGACATCGGCGTAATACCCAATGGGTCGTCCGGTGCAGCTGAAAGATGTTTGAGGTATATCGGGTGAAGCAAGAACCCTTGTCGTCTGCAAAAATAAAAAACTTTATTTGAGAAAAGAAATAATAGATGGAAAGATAGCAGTTAATTTTTTTAATGATTTATGAACGATCAAAGACCTCTATGTGGCACACGTCTGAATTCATCATTTCACTTTTGAAATATTGCTTTTGAAAAGATCTGTAATCAGGCGTTTCATCGGGCCTTTCCTGGCGTTTTTTTTTCGCAAAATCTTCCGAAATTCCATGTTGGCAAATCTCTCATGCCTTTTCGAAAAGATAAATGGCCGAATGCAAGATCGAATGGGTTGAAATTACATTCCGATCTTCCAGACTTTCAACTTGCGCCTGATATGTAAGCAGCAATTACGGCCATTTTTATAGTATATTAACCATAACAACGTACAATTATTAAAGTTAAAGGAAACAAAGTTTTTCATTTTAGCTCTCTCATAATGAAACGCTTTAAAAGTTCTTGCGAAATTTTTACAATATATAAGACTTCACTCAGATAATGATGCTACAAAATAATTTTAGAAATGGCTATACTAGTGGTGTATATTTTTTATAAATCCAGCAAATCTTATAATAAAAACCAAATAAAAACGTCTAAATTGCCAATAAAATCGTAAAATGGAGACTGATTTCGCATGACGCAAGGACAAGGCAACATGAGCTATTTCTTCTTGTATAATGCTCGATTTGTTCCACTTAATTATAGGGTAGCATTCTTTGGCTCCATAGATATAGAAAGCATGTAGGATTGCCAACCGATTTGATAATTGTGCTTGAGTACGGCAGTAAGTACCTGGAATACTAGAAATGGCCGATTGGCTATACTCGGCAGTAATAAGACCCAAAATAACCTATGGATATTAATCGGGTCGACCAAACAACAAAAAGCAGCTAATCAACCATTAGGCTGCATACAAAGACTAGCAAACCTATGTATCACAGGGGCATTGAGAACAACCCCTAGAAGTGCACTAGAAACTGCTAACCCTACCTCCACTGGAAATATTCATACAAGGAGAGGCTAGGAAAAGGTATCGACCTGCAGTTTGCGATGTTGTGAGTTGTATCTTCAGGATGTCAAATGACGGATGAATTTAAAGAAAGAAGGAAACAGCTTCCGGGTTCAGCCGAGCTTCTTCAAATTCATCCGTCATTTGACCTCCTGAAGATCCAACTCACAACAAAATCACATCCATTCCTTGAAATAGGGACTGATTATATGATCCCGAAAACCTTCTTCGCAACATCCCACACAGGAGAGCATCAGACACTATGATATGGCATACAGATGGCTCCAAAACAAACGAAGGAACCGGATCGGGCGTTTTCTGAACAAGCCCAAAACATGAGCTATCAAACTTATTAGGGAAGTACACTTCGGTCTTTCAAGCAGAAGTACATGCCATCAATGCTTGTGCCCTGGAAACTCTTAAAAGAGGTTACACTGGCAAAAAAATCCTCATAAGATATGATAGTCAAGCAGCCATTAAAGCATTAGCATGTAAAAGAATTACATCAAAATTGGTCAGTGAATGCATCAAAAATCTCCAAAACCTGGGGAAACAAAACAACCTGATGGTCTCTGTGTCCAGGGTACAGAGGAATTTTGGGTAACGAAAAGCAGACAGACTGGCCAGAGGAGGATCTGCAAGACCATAGATAGGCCACCTATACTTGGGATAACAAAAACAAATATAGAATCCTCCATCGCAGAATGGATCCAAACAAAAAAGGAGAAGTGGATAAACTCTAGCGGTGCTAGACATAGTAAACTTATGATGAAACAACCCTCACCAAGACTGGCAAAATCACTGCTGCAATTGGAGACGGCTAAACTCAGAGGAGTGGTAGTACTACTAACCAGTCACTGCATCTGACAAAACGTCTACACAACATGGGCATATACAACGATGATCCCATCTGCAGATTATGTAATGAGGAGGAGAAGAAGAAGAAGAAGAAAAATAACTTTATTCTGGGACTGGTGTCTCCTAAGAATAATTTACATGAAATAAATAAAGGAAGTTCCTTCTATGAAGCTNCTTAGGGCACCCCAGATTTTAGAGGGAGGAAGGAGGAGGTAAGGCCATTGGGAAGGGAGACAGCTTGGTAGCGATTGGTAAGGTAGGAGTGGAACCAACGGATGGTGCAGGTGGAGAAGGAAAAAGATTCGAGTTTAGAGAGGAGAGAAGAGTGAGGGACAGAATCGAAGGCTTTAGAAAAATCAAGAAGGACAATTATAGTAACTTTCCGTTGGTCCATTGCTAAGTGGAGGTCACTGGTAATTTTTAGGAGGAGGAAACAACCACCCGTATCATCCTCGTATGCGAAGCAACAGCTCAATGGAGATTCAACCTAACATACGAAAAAACTTAGGGAATGAAATTGTAGCAGCGACAGACAATGACCTGATACTTCTAAGGAGAATGATAGAGTTTATTGCACTAAACTAAGAAACTAGGAAGGTAAAATAAGCCAAAAGGCTGCAGTGCCTGGGGAGTACAAACCCCGCTTCCTAGTATCCTTATCACCATACCATACCATACCAAGTACCTGGAATCCCTTTTCCGATTTTTAGAGGAAATAGCGCTCTTTTATGTACATAATACTTGTGTTTCTTTGTTGTAACTGAATGTATTTATTAGCGTGAATGTGTAGAGAGGGACAATGGGGAGTATATATTATTTTAAAAGGAAATAGGGTTATTTTACTGTATACAGTACTTTATAGACGCCTCGCCTAGTGTTTCGTTGTGTATATTGAGACTGAATGTATTTCTTAGCATGAATGTGAGAGTGAATAGTGTAAGAAGGCCAATTGGTAATATCATAACGACCCTCCATTAGATTAGTTGTACGTATGGAGATGTAGGATAGAAGAATATCAAGTAGTGAATGGTGGGTAAATAGGAAATAATGTATTTTAGAATGAATGAGAGGGTGATTTGGTTAGGATGTGGAGCTTGATAGCCTATGGAATCCAACACGTCGGTGGCCGGAAGGACAAGACCAAGGTCTGACTCCGGACTGTCTACACTCGGGGCGGGTGAAGTAAAACCAATTAGAATTTAAAGAGGTATCTTCATGAGGTCTTTGTGATAAAGTAGACTTTGGGTTTCAAGTTTTCGGCTATTTATACCACCATCTTCAGGGCCTATTCATTGAAAAGTACGTATATTATAGAGTTACAGTAGAGATATTGAAGAATTACATTGTTTTTAAAGTGACGAATTACATAGTAAGGTTAGTGATGTAGTAATGAGAATATGCGATGGATATTAGATGGCTTGACGGAACTGCGCAGTTGTACTAAGTATGTCCAAAGTGGTCATAGTAAAGACTTGTATAAGGTTAGTTTAGTTTTGACTGTCAAGAGAAATTTCGTTCCTAACAGGCTTCATGTTGTTAAAGTCTTCTATTAAGTTGACTCATAAAACTGGTGATTTTACGTCAATCTGCTTTCTAGTTGTAGTACTAAGTACCTGACTTGAGTCGTTAGCTTCTTGTTGTTGATGGACAGTGGAGGAAGACACGAGGTACATTTTTCTTCTGTCAGCCTTGCCTTTCAATTGTTGCCCCAGTCTTCAAACTCAAGTTGTTCTTGAATGGTAGAGGTTGCTTTGATAGGATTCTGGTAAGCCGACAGAATTGTGGTGTCGCGTAAGTGGTAAGGATTTATCAGAAAGTGTAAACGGAAAACAGGATAGGACCAAGAATACAGCTGCTTCTATATTTTATTAATAACATTTTCTATTTGAAAAGAATAAAGTAAGTCTGATTTTAGAGTGCTAAAAATAATTAATGGATTCATCTAAATCTGTTTAAAAGTTGTAACTATTTTTGAGTACTTTTTATGAGATCAAGATACAAGCTGGGGAATGACAAAACAAAAACGATCAAAGAAAGATTGAAAATAATGAAATTAATAACGTTGTTGACTTGGCAAATAATTAAATGCACTAATTTCGTGGTCCGCTTGACCAATTAATATATTACAATTAATTAAGGTTTTTAGTTGAGATAAAAAAATCAATGGCACGAGCGGGATTCGAACCCACGATCTNAATTCAAAAGGTGTGGTTGAGATGGGAAGTTAGTGCCCGAGGGGATTGAAGTCACGATAGCTCAAGTGGTAGAGTAGCGGCGTATCAAGCCGAAAGTCGTGGGTTCGAATCCCGCTCGTGACACTGACTTTTTCATTTCAACCAATACCTTACATAAAATTTTTTTAGCAATGTTGCCCGTTGTTCGAATCGGATTGGAGGTGTGAGGTTAAAGCCAGGATATATGGGTCTTTATGATTTGAAAATTACAGTGATTTCTATCCTCCTTTCAATTTAATAAAACGTTGTAGTGAAATTCACCATTTTTCGTGGTCCGCTTGACAAATTAATATCATTCAATTGATTAAGGTTTTTAGTTGAAATAAAAAAGTCAGTGTGACGAGCGGGATTCGAACCCACGACCTTCGGCTTGATACGCCGCTACTCTACCACTTGAGCTATCGTGACATCGATCCTCGAGTAGCGGCGTACCAAGTTGAAGGTCGTGGGTTCGAATCCCGCTCGTGACACTGACTTTTTTATCTCAACTTAAAACCTTAATTAATTGACTTATTGTAAATGCAGTTTCTTTTGCTGAAGATATATTTCAACACTTATCGAGTTAAAGTAAGAAAAATATGACTATATGATTTTTTGTTTAAATTATACAATACGTTCTAACAGCGATATTTACCTAAAATAAATATGCCCTGATGATGGCGATATAATCGTTGAAAGCTCGGCAAAAACTTAAAGAATTGTTGTTCTGTTGTGACCTCACCTAAGATCCTTTTTTCTAAGTTGTTTGTTTTCTGTGTGGCACTCAATACACTTAAGACACACAGCATATATTCCTGTTATCCCTATCAATATTATATGCTCTTTCGATGTCTTCGCTAAATACCACGACCTGGAAACTAAATCCACCCACTTTTACGCTACTAAAATCCACTTGTCCTACAATCTGGTTAC